TGTAGGTCACATTGTCTAATGAGCAATCATTCTAGACTTGTAATTTTGAATGAATGCTGCTCGAAGTAATAGAGATTAAATATCCACGATCAATTTACTGAAAGACATATGTTCAAATCTCTGGTTAACTATACTTTTAAATGATGCTGCAAACATATCTAGCTGATGTCTGTTAGAAACAACCTTCCTTATTTTACATCGAGACTTTCGGTGATTACCGATAACCAGATGATTATAAGACTATATTGTAGTCTAAATAGACCTGTATTTTTAAATATATTAAAACAGTAAGTTATTTTGATAAATTTGGATAGTGCAATGAAAAGACAAAGATTATCAGAATTACATGATATATTAGGAAGATAAAGTTGGAACAATCTGATCTCACATATGTGTAAAAACACATACGTGAAAAATAATGGGTTTATTAGGTGTATTACGTAAGAAGTAAGAAAGATGATGAAGAAGACAATGTGAAACACCACTCTGAACAATATATCAATATTAATAAGGTAAGTCAAGGGTGATAACATAAAGGTTTGAAGTTTTGTGTGACCATGATTTCAATAAACCTTAATCCATTCCCTTGAACATTCATTGAACTATCTCAACCTAATAGCTCACAATAACGGAACATGCTTGTCTGTCCTTTGATTTCATCTGGCTATTCAATGGATTGTTGGAGTAGCTATGGGTATTCTTCAATAATGGTTTTCAACTGATGCTTTTATGTTATACATCAAAAATTTAATTGACAACCCAAAATTAAAAGATGTGACTACATCATAGTCATAAGTGATAAATATGAAGATGAGAACCGTTTGTCAAATGGAACAAATTGCTCTTCATAGAACATTTATCAGAAGTATAAATTGTTCAACTGGTTCATATTTCACGGTACATTTGTAGTAATGAGACTACATTATGTCATATAATTATGGGAAAATCTACAGTATCAACTATGGTAATTATCAATCAATAATGTTTTTTATAATCGAATATAACAGATAACCCATTCTAGCAGGATAGATCATTAGATCATAAAATCAATAAAAATGTTGTTCTTAAATCAGATATTATGTAAAATGTCAATTTATGTTTTGGAAAACGATGACATTGTCGAATATCGTAAAATAAAATGAGACAGATAATTGATTGATATAGTCATCATATGATAATCTTAGATGTGTTTTGAATATCCGTTGAACACAACAATAACAAAAAACAATATGTGTACATTATGTTATTTGTACTGGTTCAAAATGAATGAAACGAATTGATTTGTTCATTTCCTCGGTTTACTGTTTACATATATGCATTTTCTATGATTATATTTTATAATTTCAATATGAATCGTACAAACCAAGTGAAATCATAAGATAGAAGCGAGGAGGTTTGAAGATATATTTGATAGGCTATCAGTTTATCGAGGGTCGTCTGATCTAATCGGGTTAGAGATTGCAGGGGTTGTTGAGCACGGCGTTCCCACTCGTGATCTGGTGCGGATGCATGACCGAGCGCTTTCAACTAGGTGAGTCCATTAAAACTAATGTTGTCAGCATCCAATGTCTAAGACTTACAGAGCTATTTATGTACCGCTACAATACTGTACGTTTGGTTTTCTTAACCAGAAAAATTTCTCAACGTGGTTAACATAAAAATTATTAGATAAAAATCAACTATTTTATATTTACGTTCTAATACTTATTCACATAGAATCATTAAAGCAGATTATAAAAATGGTTTTTTTTTCTTTTCAAAATGTCAATTTATTCACTTAAGAAAAACAACACATTCGATTTTATGATAAATAAACAAACTATTCAACCATCACTCTGGAAGATTAAGATTTTCTAATAGAGAAATACAAACTATAATAATTATCATAATAAAAAAAGCGATATATGAATCAGTACATCTATAAACCAAACATCGTAAGATTCTAATAACTGGAAGTAATAATGATATAACTGTGTGTACATTTTACTAATCAAAATGTTCGGTACACAGAAGTGAAATCATGTATAAGAAAATAATTCACTTGTATTACTTTGTAGTTCATACATATAACCTTCTTTATGGAAGGTATATCTGTTTCAAGAAAATTTCCAGTTTTGTTTGAGATCAAGTAGTTGGAACACTGACGGACTTTTTCAAAATGATGAGTTCAACAACTTCGTTAAAGTGTACGGAATCATGGCAACATATTCTAGGTAGAACTTCTAGGCTTCCGATAGATTAGGAATTAATACCTGTATTTAACTAGAAAAGAACTTCGATATACATTCTAAGCTGGCAGTTTTAATTTCTGATTGATAAGGATCAAATGTAGGAACACTTCAGTGTTGAAGTTTGGATGATACGACTAAGTCTAGAATATAATATGTAAAACAGATTTTTCTTCCTTCATGATTTGTAATTTGTATGTTACTCAATTTACGGCATAGAGAATTGAATTAAGTTGAATGTTACGAACCATTTATCCAGTAGAAACATGTTTCTCAACCAAAGACAATTGTATGCTATAATACTTTTTGCATTCCATCAAACTACCGCAATAAAACAAAAACTTGGAAGTACTATGTACTCAGTTTGTATTCTACAGAATATTAAATGCACTGAAAGATGTATATGTATGTGATCATTTTTTAGAATAACCAATATGCGAAAACTACAAATAATATAGGAATTAATAATGGTACCACTACTGATCGATGGAACATACTAAGTAAATAACTCCTCAATTTGACAATATTTTGCAATAAGTAATAACAAATTATAACTAAATTCAACAGAGTTAACTTATATGAGAATTGAGAAAAACAAATTCTCGAAAATATACTTCAAAATGTATACTACTGGTCAGTAACACAAAGTTTACTATTAAATTATTCTCGCTTTGTTAAACACAGAGGTAAGGGATCGATACGTACTCCATTGTGTTTTAAGAACCATTATTATATAGTTATAATCTATCTTCAAAGTTGAATACGTCATAGGGACTCAAACTAGGAAGTTAGCGCATTCAGAACAGATTCATAAAATAAAATACTTGTCCACTAAAAAAACATATTACATGAAATGGATGTATACACTTAGAATATTGAGAAAGAAAACCCGCTTGTTCGGTATAGTTATTAGTATACCAATTAAAACAAATACCAAATGCACAGAGATGAAATCCGACATAAACTCGTCATTTTGACCAAATCAATAATACATGTTTCTCTTGTTTGTTTCCAATTGGTATTAATTAAACAATTAAGTGTTTTAATCTTATATTTATGAACAGTCGTCTAATAAGGAAGGCCTTTTCCTTTTAATTAGATTATTTTTGAATTGTTTCGTAGTATAACAATATTACGAAAATATTCACAGCTAAAAGAAACATTATCAGATCTAATAATCATTTATTTTTGACCGAAAAAAAATATAACCACATCAGAACATACTAGTAGTTGTATGCTTAGATTTTAATACAGCAAAGAAGTACACATGATTGTGTTGGTAAAGCCTATGAAACTGTCCTAACGACTAGATGAAATTATATATATGAATATGTATATATGCTCAGTATTAAATGTTAGGGATCAAATATGTTATATTTTTCGTATATATTAGTATCCAACCCTTAAAGGCAAATGCAACATGATAATATAAATAATAAGCTACGTTAATATAAATATTGCAAATGATTTATAAGTATATATTTACATTGGTTGACAACAATAAATTTAAAAAGAAAGTTTCCATTTATTCAATCTAAGCATCATAAGATGACAAGTTGTGACATACCATGAAAATACAACTTTGTCAGTATAAGATTCTTTGATAACAACATAAACAATTCATTGATAATCTGTCAGTTAATTGATCAAAACTGATTAGAAACTAAATTACTCCATAGTTTAACAATCATATTATTATTTTTATAATATTTACCAACTAAGATCATTCTAAACAATCCCAGCTATTATATTATGAAAGGGATTTGTTAACCTTGTTAAGGTACATAATCAGTTGATATTATTTCTTTTATTTGCATAATTCTTTGTAAATAATTCAAAATGAGTACCAATAACATGTAACACAACTGATAATCTAAAGTTCAAAATCTAAATATTAAAGAAAAGTAAACAAATCACATAATTCATCTTGATATTCTCTAGTGCATAAATTTGTATTTATTAGAGAACTAAATAACATGTAATATATCAGTTAAAAAGTATTACATCCTTCTCTATACCCTAATGTCATTTAATCAAATTATGTTTGTTTTTTTATTTGTGTTTATGTTGCCCGAATTTTTATTTGGTATATATACTTGGTTATGTTATAAAAGGAATACAATATTTAGACAGATCCTTTCTATAAATGTAAACAATTGTTAGGCATGAAGATATAGATCTAGTTAAAAAAATTAATAATAACTGGACAAGCGTATTTATTAAATGGTGTTAAATGATTAGACTTCAACAGTATTCCATAAAAATTCGTTTTACTACTGTGATATAAAAACTCATATTCGTGAACTGAATACTTAAGCAATTAACCCTCAAATATTGACTAATTCCAACTGAATAGTTACAGTTCCTTATTAGAATTTTCGGTAGCTATTTATAGAAATCTAGAAAAAATGAACAACTGCTTGAAGTACATTTAGGGAATTAACGATTAAGAAAGTGTTCCAGAAAGAAGGACGTTTTTAAAAAAATAATCCGACTGATCGAATCCAGGCAAATCACAACATATTTTAGCGTCATTTTTAGCTATTCAAACTACAAGATCAATTGTGACCATATAAATGACTAATTCGTTTAGTGAACAAAGCTAGTGAAGTGATAAGAATCTCAAAGCTGCCAAAGAAACTCAATAACGCCTATATAAAATGGTTTGGTTAAAGGCACTTAAAAAGTGTAGTTAATAATTGTTCAGCACATGAATTAAAGCACTATTCTTGAGATATAGTTAACGAAAAAATTTCAAACAACAGAATATTTCACTTAGAATTTATTCATGAATTAAAACAAACTGGAAAGAAGTAACACTGATGAAAGAAACAAATAGAGAAAACAATGCAAATGAATTCAAGGGTTCGAAAATCAACAAACAAACAACTGGACCTCCAACATACGAGGAATTTCAAAAAAGTAACAGATGGATGGGTTACTAATTCTAAAAGAAAGGAAATCTCGAAGGAAAACTCCTTCAAAGACAGAATATGTATAATACTGTTCAATTGAGAAATAATTAATCTATTTTTTAAAAAAACACAGACACAGTAACATCTTTCTGCCCTTATAATGATAACATAAGGACAAATGCACATTTTTAATGAATAAAATAATAACCATAATACAAGGGGAAATGTTTAAAGAAAGCAGTAACATACAGCAGTAGTTTGTGTATGCATAAGAATATCAAGTTGGTTTTAATCAATTCACACACTTTCTAATTTCAATATGACAATAGTTCGAAAGCGTATTTTGAAGGCAGTGAAGAATATCATTACAAAAGGAAGAATGTAAAAAATTGAGAATATGATAAAGACAGGTTCAATATAATTAAGGTAACAATGTTAATTATAATAGTAATCATATTAATAATGAATGAGTTTAACACTAGAGTTATAGGATGATTAAAATGAAGCGATGAAATAAAAGATATACACTATTTACTAGGTACGGTTATCTACAAAGAAGGACATATTTATATAGAATACAGTTATTTGTTTTACTAGAATAAAGAAATATGGCTATATTCAGTATAAGAAAGATTATTCTTAATCAAACAATCAGTCAATATATCTACTGTTCAATGATAATACGTAATATATATATGAAAGCTAGGAGATAAAGCTGAAAAAAGATCGCATAAATTCCCTATCACAGACATGTATACACATACACAAACAGGCAACGTCCTCTATCACGACATCCCATTACATACAATTGGTAAGCACGTATAAGATGGGATGTGCATATAGTGAAAATACAAAGGAAAGTAAATCAGTAAAACTATGTGAGAAGGAAATACACACACAAGTACATAACTATACACAATATAGTTGAAAGTTTGGAACACAAAATTCGCTCTATTTCGATTCAGTTTTACACAAATCTTCTAAGCTACAACGAAGTTTTTGTGCTAATCGGCTGGTTGATGAAGCTGTTTTAAGGATTTCTTGTAGAGCTGATGAAGCTGGTAATAATGTGGATGATGCTGATGTCGATGGAGAACCTGTTGACTGTTGCCTCGATTGATTAACACATTTCCCTACCTATAAGTAAATTTTTCAGCAAAAAAACAAAACAAAACAAAAATTATTAGTAATTTCCCAAAGAAAACTTACCACACACCAGAACCTGTCTTAATATTTTAGTAAATGTTTATGCAATGAAATGAAATTTTTATCAATTCTTAATTTAAACCATATTCCTGAGTAGTCCATATTAATTGCTACGACAACAAAATCAATAGTTGAGTTTTCAAGCATATTTATTCTTATAAACCACGTAAGAGTTCAGTTATTCTCGTAAATATTCTACTTTTAAAACAAGGAACAAACTTTTAAAACAAAAAGAAAACAAAGCTCATTTCTAAAGCATTAAATCCATATTTCAAAATTCTTTCACAAAGTTATCACTTCCTTAATTTAGCGTTGTTGAGTTTGTCATCATAGACAAGATCATCAGCACCTAATTTATATAGAAATGAACTTTGTAGTTATTCTACATCAGTTCATTCTAGTAACCTTGTTTGAGACTTGCTATCTTCATTTATCCTTGAACTTACGTTGACTAATTTGTTCAGCTGACCTCTGATCGTCTGCGTTGATAGATTAGATAACCACTAATGGGTTTACTAACAGTCTGAATGCAATGTATTAAAAAATTGTCTGCTAGTCTTAGAATTTTCTCAACCCAGAATTTTGATTTTTCTCCTGTCGAATCCATGTCCGTGACTGTTTGATTGAAATGATTACAGTCCGTATTTAGATATAAATAGAGAGTCTATTTTGCTTGAGGTGATTTTTCTCATATTCAAAGCACTTCATTTTGTACATGATACTGTATTCATCTTCAGTTACCATTATGTAACTTCATTTAAAGTTAAGTAGCATGAAGTAATTATGATGGTTTTTGGGTGACACCAAACTTAAGCCATTTCAGAATCATTTTCCAATGTTGTGTTTTGTATCCTAGTGATTTGAAGTGAATGCCTAAGGTATGTCACAAAGTTATTCAGTTAACTAATTGAAAACAATTATTTCAATATTTTCTTGGGGTTGATCATTACATATAACAAAATAGACACCAAATTACATAACTTGATGTTAACGCAACTTGAATCATAATCTTTACATGACAATTAAAATGAGCTTCTTAAATGTTCATGGTTGATTGCCTACTTCTTAGAACTTCTTCCTATTATGTATACAATACAATGATCACCAAATTGAAGCCTTATCTTCTCTAACTTTCCAGTGGTAAATAGCTAAATTAATTTATGAGAATTCGTTATTAAGTTAAAAACAGTTCATAATGAAAAAAAAACTTATGTTTGAATTAAATAAACTAAAGTAGATAGTAAGTAAATGTTAATTAGCGACTAGTTTTCAAACGAACTTCCAGTAGTTCTAAGTGAAACCTATCATCAATGGACGTTTAACAGAAGATGAAACAGTTACCCATTTATAACATTACAATATCGTGAAGAAATTATTCAAATAGGAAAATACCGATATTGTGTAGCATTTCAGCTCAGTGATTCAACTGAACCATTTTTCTGTTCAACTTGAAAACATCAAATGGTTTACACAGCTCCAACTAATAGTCAATAGATTTATGCGCTGACAATCTAGTCTTCGTTTAGTCACCTTTAACTATTTTCCAACTTAATCTATACACCAGTAAGCATTGCATGGTAAGGTAGATGGTGGGGATACACTTAATACATGGTCTAACTCATCTATTCAATTTACATTTATGGATCATTTTGCAACAGAAAAGATTTGGTAAAATTTAAAAGACAAAAAAAACTATGTCAGTACATTAAACTCGGGAATAATTCTATACACTTGTCTACTAATGTAATTTGTCACTTGAATCAAATGCATGAAATACAAGTCATTTCGGTATTGTTCTTTTTTATTTCCCACAGAGTATTAACAAAATAATGTCGTTTATTTGAATAGAAATACGATTGTTACTAGAAATGGAATGTTTTCGCATCTCTCAGTGAACAATAATAATAATCATCGAGTACTATTTCATAGTATTTCTTCGCTTGTCCAATATACACTTTAATTAAATTTGTAGAACTGTTGTTGGATTGAAAGTTATAATCTATGCTTTATTTTTTAGTGTATTGAATAGAGTTACCAATGAAAAACAAATGAGATGCAAACACAATACAGTTAAAAGCATGAAGCAAATATCGCACAGAAAAACAATTGTAGTATTAGACTACGAATCGTACACACGTACAGACCAGTTAAAGAAAAAAAAACAATGAAGCGGATAATAAAAAATCTATGTCAATGAACTAATCCTTCATGGACTGAGTATACAAACAATTCAAACATATTTCACAAAAATAGATTAGCACAATTGTTTAAATGATATTTACGGACTATAGACGGATGGTGTGCGAAGAAGTATAGAGAGTATAGAGTCTTATCTTTAAAAAACAACCCATAGACTATTTAGACAAACAAATAAATTACTCATAAAAATAATACTAACTAACATTGAATAAGTATCATATTTAAAATAACTCACAGAATTCGAATTATTCATTGGTAAAACTTGTTTATAATGATTTGAATGTTTATCGTTCGAGGATATACTTGAATTACTATCTTCAGATGAATACATTATGTCAATAGTTTTATTGTTCTCCATCTTTTTAAAATTATTCTTATGATTATTATCGTTATGATAATTACTAGTTTTATTCGAATGATGTGAATACTTTGAATGATTTGGTGAAATATGTGTATGAAATGAACGATTAATCTGCTTTGAACGAGAATGTTTATTAATACGAGAACTATTTTTTTTTCAAAAGAAAGAAAAAAACAAGATCAGTTCATTACATTTTGTATTCTTTAAATAAAAGGAATTTGCTATATTTCTCTCTTACGGTTATAACCCAGCTATTCCTATTACTTAGTAGTCTTGGACACCAAATCACTCGGTAAAGTCCCCAAATCAGAACACGGTTGAACAGGAAAGGGATTATATTCCGAATAACAAAATTAGATGGAAGTAAGAGGCAAGTCAGAAGCACAATAGGGAAAACGTTAGTATGTTTATAGTTTTTACACTTAGTACTGGCTAATGCTGATTGGATAAGAATTAGCTAATCAGCGTGCACCAAAGCAATCGTGCATTGAGCATGCTTTAATCCAGTCGATGTCCCACTAACAGAGTTATTAATTAATAATTCATTCGTTTGTTATATTTTGTATTACAAGCTTTTTTCAATATTATATTTTTGGTACAATATAGAATTCTCAGCGCAAAGTATTTCAACAAGTTTCCGTTTCTTACTTCTTGGTCAATCCTGACGATAAATATTGAGTGATCACCAGTTAGATGTTGGCAGTTCAGTGAATGAACATCTGAATAATGTATAGTCTTTTCGCTGCATATTGCTAGCGACCACATTATCTCTTATTGGGCTTTTTGTAACTTTGACAACGAAAAGTTGTACACTTTTCAGAAATGCACCAGGATATGTTATGCGATTAATAGACATAATGATATATTAATTGTTGAAATATCTAGATGACAGGAACAGGTAGCTCAGATGATCAAGCAGAGTGGTGAGAATAAAACATAAACTATATCATTTAGTTACGTCAATCATAAAAGAGACTATTTTTAAAACTAATACTTATTGCTAGAAGATACGAATCGTATAACGGAAGTTAGAATACGAAGATGATAGATGAGGATTTGTTTTACATCAAGGAAGAAATGAAAATGAATATTTTAATACAATAATTTTTATATGATTTATTTACAATGACCAATAGTCGTATCTGTAAAAATTATGTTGAATAGTACTTGGTATCAATAAAACCATAATTGACGGTAGGAACAATTTTACAATATCATTAAATCAACCATCTATATACAACAAATATAACTAGTTTATTAAGTTACGCAATTAATCCTTCTTAAAATGTGATGACATATCATAGATAGTTGGAAAAGACTAATTTCATAGATCACTTACATGACAATTAATTAATTACTAGTCTACACCTACATATTCTGTAAAACGATTGGTGATACTACTCGACTAACTAGACCAGGAAAAAGTGAAACAGTTCGAAATAGCAACATAACGAATCAACATCAAGTGCGCTAATCAAAAACTACCTGTTTGTGTCTATCATTAAACTTAACACATAAGATGTGATTTCAACAGTAATGCTTAAAAACGTCTACTCGAGATTTGAATCATCTTGAATATCATAGGTCTCGGTGATTTTGACTTATTGTCTTAACATCCATTTAATTATTATTATTATTATTATTATTATTATTATTATTATTATTATTATTATTATTATTATATTATGAAGACTTCAACATTAACAACGATAATACTATCAAAAACATAACATAACATACAGTGATCCAAATTTCCCAGATTGATCGATTCGTTCAAAATCACGATAATAAGTAGATGGATTTACAGGGTTTAAAACGATATTTCTATAAGTATTTTCATTTTCAAATAAGCTTTAAATGAAAGAAAAACAAACGAAGCAATAATAGCAAATCTATCAAAAATACAGTGGAATACAATATGAATTAGATTATCAAATAGTATGGAAAAGATGGTTAGTTAGTTGATCGATTAGCTATTTAGTTAATAATCAGAAAGTAATTTTCAACCGTCTGAAATGTGTTTATGACTTGGAAAGTAGTATTCAAAATAACGATATACATAAAATATGGGTGAATGTTTTCGTAAACATGCAAAGATTGCAAGCAACATAATCATTTGACTAAAAAACAAATATGTTTAACGAGAAAATAATTTCAATGGTTAAGATCATGCGTCAGTTGAAGCTAGACCACCATGGAAAACCTGGAAGCACCGAACAGCCGGTTTGTCCTATCGTGGGACTCCTCAGCAGTGCGCATCCACGACCTCTCCCTCTACGAGATTCGAACCAAGGACCTACTGGTTTCGCGCGCGAGCACTTAACCAATAAACCACTGAGCCGGCATCCAAAAAGTAATTGTCGTAAATTACCGAGAAATCGGTATGAAAGTCTCAGAATAAATGGTAAACATGAAAGTTTTTATGAAGTACGTTACGTTGCATCAGATAGCTAGTGACAGTTGCAATATAATAAATGGGGAAATATTCGGTTTGGAATAGTAATTTACGAATATTTATTGACGATCGTTAGTTACAGATCCAAAAGATTTTTTCTAACGAAACTACAATATAATTATATTTCCAAAATTACTTTTAATGCATTTTTAGTTATTCATCATCATCTATCAAATGGATTGAAGTTCACTCAAGATATTTTTGAAGAAACACATTCTTCATTATCCTGACGAGTTCATTCTTATCGATATTCCTTGAAATAAGATTTGTGGAAAAAAGAAGGGAAACAGCATAAAGGCGAGGAATGTGACAAGAAATAGAAAGAACAATCTTCAGTGATTGCAGTATTATTACTAAAATCTACCTAACAATATATGTACAATAGTGTATGTTGTTACCCACTTTGCCAAACACTGTACAGCATCAACAAAAAGACAAATATCCAGATCAATTTTTCTATTCATCATTAAATTCAATCAACAAATCCCAAATATCAATTAATGACCAATAGTCTAAACAAATATACCATTATTTTTTACGATAACAAACTATTTCAATGCGTTTTCTAAACAAAATACATGATTAATGCATTATATAATCTATAAAAGATATAGTGTAATAGACTCTTCATAAACCAGTCAACCATACGATAGTATAAATGCAGCAAACTGATCAATTTCAGAATCTATCCATTCCATGTTTATGCAAAAATTCCTTTTAAAAATCCATAATACGCAAATATGGCTTGACTACTAGTAATGCTGTTCAACAATCAGTTTCAAAATAAAAATTATACTCATCGTAAAAAACATTATCCTATATACCGAAATACAAGTTGGACAGTTTACCAAGACACAAAGCGTCATGAACCAACGCAGAAACACACGTTATATCGTTTGAGGTTGGCAAATAAGTGACAAGAGAACTTGGCGCTAATAAAATTATACGTAATCAAGGCAAAACAAATTTTATGACCCTCAAAAAACACGAATGAATATTTCATACCGAAATTTAGATCGAATTCAAAAAAAGTAAGTAACAAACCTTTTTGAATAAAACACATAGATGTATTATTGGATTAAGATTATCACAGAAAATAAGAATAATAATTAGCTTGATATGTTTAGATAGACAGAGATACATAAAAAAACAAGTAATCATCATATCAAGTAAAAACATAACTTGAATACATGGGAATTAATATAATACACGGTTATCAGGAAAAAATATAAAACATATTTAATCATATAACATAATGCAAGCAAATGCAAGCCAATTATTATTCAGGACAGAGATTCCAACAGTAGAATAAACCAGACGAAAAACATTAAGCATGCGAATGAACAAGCAAAACAGTGGAAATAACAAGAAGAGAAAATTTTCTTGCATTTAGCAGTAGGCAAGCAACATATAGTCAACAGAAAAAAAACAGAGAACTCTACTTACTTTGAACGTAATGATTGTAAAAAAGAGTTATCATCACAAGGGTGTGAAGCTCTTAAAGGACGTGCACGAGATTCTTTAGTTCTAATTCATATACAATAAACATTAGAATTTAATGACGTAACATGAGAAAAAGCTGGTGGAATTTTATTACACGAAAGCAACATATTAGGAATACAACAAATTTCATCGGATAATAAAGTGTAATTGTTAAATGTGGAAAAATTATCTAAAAGTGGTTGTCACAGTACACAAAACGAAACAGTGCATAAGGTGAAATCAGGAAAAAGAGAATTACTACTTCAAGTAATGGGTCCATTTGTCAGTAAAGATTTTACAAAAATATATCTGAGCTGAAGAGTGTCTCACATTTAGTTCTCTTTATTAGAGCAGGAACAAAGAATTGAACCCAGTTCTTTGTTTTTGCTCTGTTGAAAGAAACCAAGACGCTTTCAGTAGTTCTGAAAACTTCATAAGCCATTTTCGTATATTCTGATCTTTTACAGAGTATATTAAACGAACAGAATGAAAATTCAACTCATTAACAAAATTTATGCTTGTAGACAAGTTTTTAAGTCATATTTCCATGTGAGAACGCTTCAAAACACCGATGTTCAACGAACTAGTATACAATTATGATGTATTATATTAAAAATAAAATATATGATGAATAAGATCTTGGAAAGTGTTTGTATTATTTGAAGTTATCTATATGTAAGTTTGTATTTGTTTAGCCAAGCACCATGACTTTCAGTAGTATATATATATATATATATGGGTTAGTTCAAAATGGAACACTTTTTCTACACACAAATATTTCACTATATTTTTATGTACTTTGATAGATTTGTTAATGCAAACATAAAACTGTTAAATTATAGCTGACTGGATCTAGCTGATTTAAACGTGACTATCAGTCTGATTGTTTTCTAAGACAATGTCTGCAGGACATGATGAGATAACCCTCCAATTTATGTATTAGTGTGACTATTTCTTGCACATGGAAGCTTTTTCATCTTATAGGGTTAACTGGTCAAACACAGAGTTATTCAAATATTTTCATGTCCACTCTTTATGTTATATAACAGTATTTCTCGTCACCAAAGTTGAAAACCAGAATAATTAGGAAGCACGGAAATACGAAATTTAATCTTATATATGTGAATAAGATTAAAACAGGGATCAGACACTGTCTAAAGATTGGTTGCAAACAGTGCAAAATACAAATAATTGGTAAGACACAATGTCAGCAACACAATCTACTAATTACAATGATAAGTAGTATATTATGTTACTGAAAATAAACGAAGCATGGCAGTTATTACACCTTAAAAATATGTGATGCAAAGAATTGTGTTCATATAAAGGATAACTGGATATTGTTGTTAGGTACATTTTTAACCTCATATAACTAGATGAGATGTGATTCGAAAAAAAAAGTTTAAAAGGGTAACACGTTATTGTTTAAGTTAACAGAATCTGAAACATGAAGATTAGAAATGAAAGAAACAGAGGACTGAACACCTGACCAATATTTCTATGAAATATATACCTTAAAGTAAAAAAAAGACATGTGGATTGAAAATATGAACATGTGGAATGCTCGATGAAGTTTTCTGTTTATTTAAATGCATTAGAAGACTCTAAGAGATCGATTAATAAAATCTGACTTATAGACAAAAGGGATTATTGAAAGTGAACAGTCTTTATCTTCATCACAAAAGCTTCCACATAAACGTAATCTGAACTGATTGAATAATTTATAGGAATCTAAGCAACAAACTAAACAGATAAGCACACCATTAAGTCAACATAAGTTTTCGGTGTGAACTAATAATTATAATTTGTTCATTTAAAACACCACAGATAAATTTCGCATCCTAGAAATAAGTAAAAAAATGCAAAAATGGTAGACCAACCTGGCTGAAGATAACGTTTTTCGATGTAAGGGATTCAAGCCAATATTTGGGCGGATAAGTGGAGGTTCAGTTAAACGACCACTTAGAAGACCTCCATCATTAGAATTATCTAATACTTGACCACTTCCACCACAGGCATCGCATAATGTTGTCTTGAGATGGGAAGCAGAGGTATGATTTAAACTAGAAGGGATTCGTGGTGAAAATAAAACATCTTCACGGTGATTACTGAGAAAGCGTACAGATGGTGTTTGAACAGGATGAGAGTAAAGAATTCGTTCTGTCGAAGGGTAGAAATATAAAGATGGTTGAAATGGAACTTGAGGTCTTCTTTGAATTCTATCAAAGGCTGTATACACACGCGAAGATTGTTGCTTTCCTGGTTGGAGGTGAGCAGGCTCGTATGGTGTGTCCAGATTGGCTACAATCGGTACTGAACCACCAAAGGTATTTTCTAGATTATGTACAAACTTAGAATTCGAAGGATTGCTCGATACAGATTTCTTAAAAGGGACAGAATTCAAACGATTTAAAGAGCCGTAATTGTCATGAATGTTTGTTACAGATCGAAGTGGAGTACGATAAGAATCCCATGGTTTACAAAGACTTGTTGACCGATGAAATTTTCTATGTGATTTCGAATGTTCATCTCGCATAAGTGATTTCGAAACAGACGAAGTCGGTAATGCATTACGTTGCCAATTAGATTCAGACATTGATAATTTACTGTTTAGTTTGCATCTTGAAGAATGATTGAAATTGAAATTATCATCAATAGAACTGGAAGATGCACTTGAAGAAATATGTGAAGCAATAGTAGGTGAATCGTCTGTAGAGTATTCACCACTAACTGATGATGTACAACTATTACCACTACTGCTACTGGAATCAGTTTGATGTGATCTACTTAATTGATAAGTAGAATGATATTTAATTGAACGATTTAAACCATTACCTGACAAACAAGAAACACAGAAAGCCAGAAGATAAACCAAATAATCAATGATTAAAATATAAATGAACGCGGAACAGTAATTAAAAAGAAAGTTTAACAAGGAAATGGATTATATCGAGAAATTCAAACCAAATATTGTCACAAAAGATTTGAAATATCTTCAGTCACTAAAGAAAATTAGGTCGAACTAAACATTATTATTATATAAACATCATTTATGGCTTACGTATAAGTCAAAAGAAAAATTTAGCGTCCAAGGAAGAGCAATTTTGTAGTTAACAGTATCAAAACTTTTAAAGCTCATTCGATCTATATCTAACTGAACTCTATTTAATGGAAAATCATGTTTATTGTTAAAGTATATCATTTCAAAATATACATACAAAAAAGGTGATTGTTTAAGCTGAGGCTACACAAAGTTCATAATCTGTAATTACCTTCTATAGGAGGTTGATAATTATTAGTTACGACTGATTGTGAAAAAAGGTGAATATAAAACAATCAATGGGTATTTTTATGGTTGATCAAGTTAAAAGGGATAAAGAAAGAAAACACTAATAATATAAGAATCAGCACTCTACTCAAACGATAGCAATAAAACAATGATGTCATTAAAAGTAACAGTTTTCACATCAGAAAGTCAAAGAGATTCCTAAGAGTGTATATGTTCAACTTAATGATGATGAATGCCGAAAAACATTCTTGGAAAAGAATAACAAAGAGTACAGTTACCTATCATATTATCAGTAATATTGTTAACCCTGAAAAATAAACTGATACCAAATTACATATTTATACACCTCTGCAGTATCTTTTAATCAAACACTACAATGTACTACGAAATGACACAATTTCAGTTGATTTTGATTATTCTTATGAATATTTCTGCACTAAAAAAATGAATATATTGTGATAAACCTTTAATATCAATAATTGAACGATAGCGAAAAAACCGCAGGGAATATAAAAAAGAAAGCAATTTACCTACAACAAAGCACTTACCGCATAAACAAAGCATTATACGATGAAAGTGTTAGCTTAGAAAAAAAAGTACAGTCAGCTTTTCTGGTTTCAAGGTCAACGCATGCTGACAAACAATATATTTTAGAAATATGGTATTATTACCGAAAATTCCATTTTGTAATTATTTTGTATTATAATTCAGTTTAAAAGATTTGCAAAATTTAAATTTAACCATCAATCGTTACCGGTAGGTTGACAAAACCACTGAAAAATAACACATTTCAAAGCAGAACAGTATATTTGAGGGACTTATATTGATGTTAGGTGGTTGGAGTTATTCTACAGGAATTTCTATGTACCTGTAGATGTAAGGGAACTGATTCTCCTTGGCGAACTCGATCCCGTGTCCCCCAGTTCCGTAGTATGAGAGGTTCTCATGGAGTTTTTACGGTCAAAACTACAACCACCCAACATCTTAACATAGTGTGCGGGATGTCATACCACTCAAATTAGCGGCCGATTAGCATTTTAATAAATGGAATTCGATCAGCTATTAGGAAAACTATTGAACAAATGGGATCACCATAATATACAGTTAGAAATTATAGATATTGAAATCAGTTATTAAATTCTTATTTAGATCTCTGTAGTATGTGATTATTAGGAATTTCAGCAATAACTTTATGTCAAACAGATAATGATGAATCACATGCAGACGAATAAAACCTTTTGAAATAAAAAGTTCAACAATGATGAACAAAACAGGCATTAGAAAGTCAGACATCATTAACACAAACACTGGTATAGGTTTGCGTTGACTCACGTTGTCATACAGTATAATACCATAAAGAGATAAAAATTAGAAAAGAGATCGGAATTGTGTAGTAGCAATGATAAAAAGACCAAACCTTGCGAAGTTGATTTGAGAAAACAGAATAAAAAGATATGTATTGAAGGATGCTAGACGTGCACCATAGTGACCGACTCTGGATCATGTTACCTACATTATTCAACCTCATATCACAATTATCACCCATACTCTAGCCAGCTAGCCTCTATCCATTAACGTGGGTCAGATCAGCAGACAGTAACTTAATGGACTAGTGCCAAATCTTGATTTCATAACCCGTACCTATCCCTGCACTAGAAAGATTCGTTCATCGGGGTAGGATCTGGCGAGTCATACTTAAAATATATCCTAGCCACCTCGGTCAGTGAAGGTTTAATAAGCTCCCTACGTCTAACTTCGGTATTGCTCACTCACTCGATCAATCCTCGAAACGAGAGTTATACTTCGAAAACTTCTCTGATCGAAAACCTGTAGCTTACGTGTGTCATGTACTTTCAAGTATCATGTTTCACAATCATAAAGTAGAACAGTGCGAATTGTTGCACAGTATATACGCCCTTTGGTTAGTAAACAAATAGTCTACCTACAACACAACTGAAACTAATTGGGAAACGCCAACTAAGCGTTATGAATTTGTGCCAAGATTTTATTAGACACCAACAAGACAGGGTTGATCAGAATTCTAAGATAAGTGAAGGAACCAAAGCACTACCTATTAGTAATTCATGTGCTGACGCAGACCAGTCCTGAAGTAATCTTTTTACTTAGAGGAACAAGAACAAACACAAGAAAAAACAATGTGTTGAGAAAAATAGAACGTATGGGAATAAGTGTTGTAAATGTTACTGTGTTATAACATCTTTTCTCCAATGACAACGATTCATTCTATTCCAAGCATCTTTCAACTAAGTCTATCTCAAATTTTTTTAGACGATAGAGGACTTTCTCAAAAGAGGGAATCATTATCACTGATTTACAAGATTACAATCGTTCCAAGTGTAATTCTTTCTCATAGTTAAAACTATAATAAAAGGTAAGAAATTTACAGGATCTATTGCAGAATCTAAACATACCTAAATCTAATGGAAAGAATAATATATGAGTAGTAAGAGCTTGAAATATAAGAAAAACAAGTTATCAACATTAAACATACTTGAATGAGTTGCATTATTGTTGGGTCGTGAAGAATTAACTATTCTAGAACAACTGAAATCTCTGGAATTGCCAATATGATGTGCAATTTGGCGTGAATTGTTATTGGACGAAGTACGTATAATAGGTCGATTCGACTTTGGTTTTACATATCCTTTACTGTTAGTTTTAGGTTTAACAAATGAATAGTTGCAATCATTTTCTTGACCATGTGCTACTAACCTAAAAAAAATAGAATGTATAAAATATACAGAGAATTATTGTACATAATATAAGATCGTTACAACGGAAATATTACTAAGGCAAGGAAACGAAGAAGAATGCTATATAACGTACGTTAATCATGTCCCAGATCCCAGTTTAATAAAATACCAGTAACGATCTGATCTCTATCTAATCACAGTGAAAAGAAAACATACTCATAAAATTCCACAGATCGATCAGTTAGATATTTAGTTCACATAAAATCCAGTACAAATGGTCACCAAAAATAGTATACATCACATAAAGAAAACATCAGAAAGAAATACGGAAGGAAAAGGAAGTGAAATGAAAAAGAAAATGTAAACAAGTAGTATATAATACTAGATACAGTTCGGTAAGAATAATATCGAGAAAAACCCTTTTCAGCTACAAAAGCGCATCTTATCTTAATGAAGAATGTAAAACAAAACTGCAGGAGGATTATCACTGGTTTCTGTTTTCAATCACGTTTGACAACCTTTCAAGTCACTGGCCCGGATCATCTCTTATACCTGAACTACGGAGTCATGATGGACTGGTAGAAAGCAACATTAAAAACTCCGTTTCACATCATACATACTCAACCATAGTATTAACTAATTTAAAGATTATGATCTAATTTATCGACAAATTTTAGTTGTCGACAACAGGCCTTAATATCTATGAGCAGAAAGTAGCAAACGTTTTCACACTCAATATTTATTGATTAAACCATCTCCTTATTTATCTCATTTCATTATGCTAAAACAATGATGATAAGGTCTAAATATCAATCTTAGTATCGATTGTAATTTATATTTGAGGAATAATCGAGTTGTGCGAGCAAAACTTCATATAGTTTCAAACAAATCATTAGAGAGTATACAAAATAATTATTAAACAAAAATCAGGTAAATCTATTAAGACATCAATCTGACGAATTGACCAACTTGGTAAGCTCCAAAACATCATGAATTTTCAACAATCAGATGCAAAGAATGGTTGGAAAAAAGCAGAGCATAACATATGAGTTAGGCAAATTATCAGCATAGTTCAGTCAATTATTTATAGACAACATAGCATCTGGCGTGAAAACGTGGCAGTCAAATATGCAACAGCATAAATCAGCAAAATCAGAGAGAGAGAGAAAACCAAACGAGAGCATTGGTTAATAGCTTACAACTACACTAGTTCATTACAAAACTTCAGGGACTAAGAAGGACAAAAATTACGCAATATGAATAAATCGTATGTTATCATAGAAATAATAATTGTCTTTTGACAAACCTTCGATCTACTGTTCTATGATACACTCGACCAGGTGGAAGTACTGTTTTTCTGCAATTCGATTTCTCGACAAGGTTTTTTTCGTAAACACCTTGAATGGATAATGATGATGTGTTCGGTAGTTCAGATGACGCATAAACAGCAATACTTTTATTATTGTTGTTCAAAAGAGGACCACTAGTGATGAGATGTGGAAAAGCAGAAGTATCTGAATTATTTACACCTGATGACGGAAGATTATTACGCAAACTGAATGTAGGTGAAACGAATTGACAAGATTTTCGATTAAAAACTGATTTTCCATTTTCCACATTACCATTTTGTGCACGATTTTCAGCTTTTAAACAAAGATTTTCAAGATTCTCCTTCAATAAACGTACACCATTCTCAAGATCATCTATTCGTCTAAAAATAATGATGGAAAAAGCAAACTGCATTAAACAAAATACTAAACCGTAATGATAATACAATTTTGATCCCACAAATTGGTGGCAATAATTTCAAAAATGATTAGCGTAACTCTTAAAAAATCACCTTGAAGTGACAAAGCCTTAATTTACATAAATCTCTTGAGTCGTGTAAGTAATTCACAGCTTCTAACCGTACTTCATCTACAATAATTCAGACAGCAGTGTAGCCCTAATAAAAAGTCTGATTTAAAGACGAATGAATAAAACTTTACTTTGTAAAGTTAAATACGGTTTCTAAACTACATTTTACGTCACATGGAAACACTAATCCATTAATTCGATTACTCAAATTGCATAGTTAGAAATCGACTGAGAAATAAACTTTATATATGTGTAAACACTTTCCTGATTCATTACAATTTGTTGATTTAACTGTTTTGATACAGGTGAATACAACAACAAGGATTGTCAATAACCTTGAAGGGCATGGTAATAAATTGATAAAAAGTGGAATTTTCTATGGTCGTAGATTATGTTTAATAGGCTCAATAAAACAATATCGTCTTTGATACACATATACCCAATCTTAGCTTCCATGTTGAAATGGTTTGGTACAGCTATGTTGGCTAAAATATCTGTTTCTTTAGGTTCGAAGATCCCAACCAGGTTTGGTGGGGAACAGTAAGAATAAAAATGGCACAATTATGACCCAAAGTTGAAGTTGTCATCTCAACTGTACGGGAGTGTCATAGCAGTAATGTTTTTGGAAAGTACCGAGATCTGGGGCTCACTGTCTTTTCATAATGTTAGGATAGAATTAGAAAACGTCAACCACGAAAATAGTTCATGGGTTTTTATAGTTGGCAAAAAGACACTAAAAGTACAGGGCCCACCTATCTATAACTACTCATAAAATGTCGTATGTCAGCAACTTGAAGCACTTATCCCTCGGGTATTATATTCGTACTCTCGAATCGTCAATAGCACTTCTAATCTCGAGAAATGTCTTTTCACCGCATGCAAGACCCCGTTCATACCACTGGATAACAATCAGATTAAGAAACATGTTACGCTTATGTATAAATTCTAATTAACATGATACATTTATTATTATTAACCTTTTAAACCGATCATGAACGACTTTCCCAAAAACTACATCATTTTTGTTACTTTGAACGCAATGTAAAAAAATGGCCAAATAATTAAACAGTGAGAAAAAATTGCCTTGATAATTTTATTACCATGACTGTTTACATATTTCTAGAACTGATCAATGTTACGTAACACTAAATCTCAGGATCATTGAAAAACCGATCAAATAGGAATAAGATAACTGATCTAAACATTATTTTCGTTAGGATATCTCAAGTGTTAACCATTTCATATTTACCAAATAATAACTACAAACGAATACCACAATAAGTTAACTGTTGTACAAATATATAGAAACAATTCATTTAAAAAAAAGGACTCGACATAAAAACAAAACATTTGGATCTACATAAATTCACAATAACATACAGTAGTAAACGAACCGTTACTATGGAGAGCGTTTTGATTGAGACCAAATTCAAAATAAGTTAAAAACAAATAAAAAAGCAACCTAAAACTAGGCAGTAAAATTTTATTCACTTACTGTTTAGTACTTGGACTAGATGATAATGTTGAAGAATATGAAACAGGTGATTTCTTTTGCATTATTCGCATTTTATCTTGTTTATCACTATCATTATAGACTGAATGACTTAATTCAGCTGAAGATGTGTTTATAGGTGATTTTCTGTGATCACTATTAATAGGTTGTATAGAATGAATTGTTTGAGGATGTGTTCTTGTTAAACCACTATCAGAATGATCATATTTTTGTGTATCAAATGAATGATCTATTTGTGAATTACTATTATTAGACAATGTCTTATGCTTCAAAGTTTGATAAGAAGATGAATAACAAGTCTGATAATGATGAGGTAATTGGTTAGATTGATTTTGTTGGTAATGATGATTACGATGATCGATTTCATCATGCTTCATGCCATCAGAGCTTTCAGGGGGTGTTGAAAGGCCACTATCCTGATTGGATGATGAATCAGGTGAAGTGAATGATTGTGAATGAGTAGAATTCTAGAAGAAAAGTACACAAAAATTAATCAAAATGATGATTACTAAGGTCAATGTAGGAGTATTGTTAAAACGTTTCTTAGTTTATTGTATGCAATAACATAAGTATTGTGTCCTTAAATGTACGATTAATATGAAATACGAAAGCCGATTTATATACGTTGACTTACACGGACAATCTAATGATGCATACACCAGTACGAGCGGTTTCGAGTTCCGATTAGCCTTTTTTCCACCTAGCTCTACTTGTTAAGTTCAGAATGTCAATCTCAGCTTACACCATACGAATCATATATCCCAAAAATACCTGGTTCATATACAAGCAAAACCAGACCATATCACACCATAGAATAGAAAATAACATTTGTACAAGATCAAGCCAAAAAGTGGCTGTGATTTTGAGGACTGTTACTAATAAATTGGGAATATCTCTAGAACAGCAAATCATATGATAAAAGTTAAAGGATCAAATAAAAGCTTATGTGAATATACATATAATATAAGTCCATAAATAATTCTTGAAGTTTGCTACTCATTTATTCTCGTCCGAATATAACAATAAGTATCACAGAGAATTTATGGCTAGGACTTTGATACTAAGACAAATTACGTTAACAGCTGGATCTTGAACATAAAATGTTACTATACAACATTTAGCTGACTTTTTCAAAACAACAAAAACGAATAATGCAGAACAGAATTGACTAAAACAACTTTTGCCCCGCGCCCAATTTTTTTTATTTGGTGTAATAGTTTTATATCTATGTCAAAAAAGTATCAACTGAGTTTCGCTACTTAGAAATAAGCAGTTATAGTAATAGTTTAATTTACGCAAACTATACCACTACATATATTGATTTAAGACAGTTACCTCTTCCAGATTCCTTCTAAACTCGGGACGAAAAATTCTTACAGTAAAAGCTATTATGATTTATTGTTAGAAATTTATCGAAAGGTCATTATGCAATATAATAGAAGTTACTTTAAACACCTAACAATGATTTCAGAAAAAAACCCACTGATATTTAAGAATAAAAAAAAACAACTGCTGAGCCTACAATCATTGGATCTAGTCGTAGGAGCATTACTATCAGACCAGTATGTGTTGTCAGAGAATGATGAATATTTCCAACAGAATTATCATTTATAAGCATGATAAAACAGATTTACATACATTAGCATTAGATCATGAAATTTTTATTATCAAAATGACAACAAAAATGTGGGCAGTATTATTTCTCCACAAAATCATTAACAGAGACAGTAGATACACAGGAAGACATTTTGAAAAAACCATCAAACATGACACACTCTAATGCAGAATTGAATATAAGTATGAATATTTAAATAAATATTATGAAATTCAAAACTGATTCACATAAGCTAAGGTGATTACTAAAGTACGTTTTATGCATTATTATTAAATCACACTCGGATTTGCATTTTTATGATAATAAACATACTGAATGTAAGAAATGCATATTATGAAATTTTAAAATGTATATTTAATTTCATGTAGCACAGTAAGTAAAAATAATTAGGAATTCTTCAACCAATATCAAACACATATACATAGGCTGAAATATAATGTTTCGCAGTTATGAAGATATACGCCATTAACAAGGAGTTCAAAGCGGTAAATTAATATGGTTGGTCAATGTTTGCATCGCACGTCTACATATGCAGTAAATATTACTGATATAACGTATTGATGAAACTTATTGGTTAGGTACATAGTTCATCTACTTGGTTTGGGGAGACAATTTTGTGAAACCAAGGGAGTGAAATTCGAATATGTAACATCATCCCTTTTTAAAACAGAGTGCGTCAAACACTAAGTCACTGACATGAATAATGTATTTTGCACACGATTACTATACCTGGTTGGATCGATGAGCAGAATACATTAGGGATCAGTTCAACTGGCCTTCAGCCACACTTCGGTTTCCCACGATCTCCAGTCAACCTGAATGGCAAGTTAATGTAGGTCCTCCGTCCCTTTACGAAGTTGAAAAAGCCATAGGAAATCTGAAGCGAGGGGAGAGCAGCATACCCTGACAGGTTCACTCCTGAGATTTTTAAGGATGGTGGCCAGCATTAGCAGCGAGATTAACTGAGGTCTTAGGTAGAATTTGGGAACTGGACGTAATCCCATCTGACTGGTCTCAATCACTGATTGTGCCAGTTTTTAAGAAAGGACAAAAGTCCTCTTGTGACAATCACAGAGGAATCAGTTTGACTAATATAGTGTCTAAAATATTAGCCTCAATAATACTTCGACGCCTAACTAAAGCTCGTGAAGAGCAGACTAGAGAAAACCAGGCTGGTTTTCGACCTGGACGTGGTTGTATAGATCAGATATTCACACTACGTCAGGTTCTAGAACAGAGACACACATTCAGACGCCCCACAATGGTAGTATTTCTCGACCGTAAGGCGGCATTCGACTCCGTTGATCGTAAGGTTCTATGGCAGTGTTTGTCACTGAAAGGAGTACCAAAGAAGTACATTAACCTTATAAAGGCTCTCTACACGAACACAACTGATCGAGTGAAAGCTTATGGCGAACTGTCATCAGAATTGATTACCTCAAGTGGTGTTCGTCAGGGCTGTCCACTCTCCCCATTCTTGTTTAACTCTGTCGTTGACATGCCTTTAGAGATGACACTTTCCTCATCTAAATTTCCAGGGATTGAACGTCTATCGGGAGATTCAATTTTTGACATAGAATATGCCGATGACATAGTTCTATTTGGTGAAGACGCTGACAGAATGCAGAGTCTTCTGACCACTCTAAGCAACAATGCAAGCACGTTCGAGATACGATTCTCTCCCTCGAAATGCAAAATGTTGCTTCACGATTGGGTTGCATCGACACCCGAACTAGTGATCAAAAGTGTCTTTGAAACATTTCTCGTATATCCTGGGACCATCGAGTAAGTAAGACAGTTGTCAGGAAATGGGTACTAGATAAGGATGGCAAATCAATTGATGAAGTAGTAAAACTTCATCAGTTGAGATGGCTGGGACACGTATTACGTATGCCCAACCACCGACTACCTCGACGTGCGATGTTCAATGGCATAAGAGTAAATTGGAAGAAAGCTAGGGGCGGCCAGACCAAAACATGGCACATGTCCATGAAGTCACTGATAAGTGGACTGAGCCATGTTGGTAGGTGTAGACTATCTGGTTGGGACCGCGAAATGATAGCAACCGGTTGTTAGAGACCTTGAATGACATGGCTCAAAGTCGTTTGCAATAGTGCAGGTGCACCCACTCTTTGTGTTCTCCCAAATTCTAATTTTCTGAATTCTTCATGTCCTTTTTATTTTTTTCCAAATTTATTTCACTGGATTATACTTCTTGAATAACATGTTCAAACCCTAATCTTTTCGATTACTGCTTAAACTCTTACCACCTCTACTTCTGCGGGATTTGAATTGACAAATGCATCTCTGTGCTAATGTGGTGTGACAACTCGAACTGATGTACGTACGTATGAAGTTCTACGTTGTTAATGACTGACTGATACCAATACTACTACTACTACTACTACTATATAAAAAATTATTTCAGCAGACAGTTATATCAAGAGACAACTAATCCTACCTTTTTATTATTTTGTACATCACATTTTCTGGAATACGAAGACAATGAAACAGATGATGATAATTTAGTCGTATTCTTATCTTTAGGCAAATTAACTTTGTTATTGTTTATTTCACTTGTCCGTGGAACAACATCTTTGTGTGATGATGAAGTATTCGATTCAGAACTATGAACTACAAATAAAGATCAATATGACAAGAAAATTATCACAGGTTTAAAAACATAATGAAATAGCTATTTAAAAAATCACTACAGAAAACGAAAATTTCTAATACATGGTTATTAAGTAACATTAAATTATTTTTATTTAGCTTGTCAAACTTCCATGTCAATCAACTTCCCTATCTTTTTCTCAAATGAATATTTCATCTTTTAATCTTACATTGTACACTGCTGTCCATGATCAACTATCAGCTATAAATACAAATATATCGAGTAATTTCATACATCTAGTTCCCTTGATTATCTTGAATAGAGCAAGAACACAGAACTGAGTAGAGTAACATGAATCCATTTTTATTTCGTTAGGTTCTCATCAGCTGCTTACAGCCTGTAATATTTAAAACCAAAATTATTGTAAAGTTTACAAACTTATAGCAATAATTGTGGTGGAGCAGTGAGAGTGTAGAAGATGTAATGAGTGATGTAAGTAAATATAATATGTGAGAGAAGATCCTGGAGCACCAGTTATCGTAACAAATAATTAATTGATTATATAATGAAGTAGTCGAACGTTAATTATTAAGAACAACATGAATCGAAGTCAGTCAGCTAATATATATATAATAAGGTTATGGCTTCGAAATAAGTGATGCAATTAAAATAGGAGAGAAAAGAAAATCGCAAAAAATAATGTAACAAAATGGCGATAAAATCACTGTAGTTAAGATAGATTCACAACTGTGTCTTCTTGGATACATAAGTCCGATGTTAGTCGCTTAATTGCCATGGCTTCGGAGAATTTGAGAACAGCATTCAACTCTTATGAGTAATGTATATTCCTCAGACAAAAAAGGTTCTTTGTAAATAATCAACCATTACATTTTTATTATGACGAGAGATGAATAAAATTGAAAAAGTGATAATAAGTTATAAATTATTCAATAAAAAATAATCATTTCATTGGATCTGTACCCATTATAATGATGTAGGCATCTGGTGCATAATATCAAATAACTAACGAAATCTAACAAGTTTTACAAATTATACACTATTATTATATTAATAAACGAGAGGACTTGAGAGAAAAAAAGAGATGAAAATTTCACATTATTTCCTTTTAATGCTTACAATTCTGATGGTTCGATAATTGTTTTTGTAAAGCAATAGCACGTTCTAAATTTTCACTTAATTTTCTGGTATCCCCATCTAATTGGAAAATACGTTCTAATTCATCCGGTGAGGCAATAATACTGGAACGATTATCGGCAGTTAACGCCAAATCATATAAACGCTAAAATAATTAATAAAAATTTAGCACATAATATATTTGAATATGATATGATGAACATACTGAAACCTATAAAACAGTAAAGATGAAGTTTAGACATTCATCATATGCATAGAAACAGTTTGGACGCACATGCACAATAAATCTAGTTAGTCACTTTATTATATAGTTCATGAAATTACAAAGAAAAATAAATGAGCCAAAGCTAAGAGAACTAGAAACATATTGTTGGGGATACCCGAAACATTCCTCGAAAAAACCTCATAGGTGGGAAGCATTTTAGCCAATCAAAATTGAACAGATGTTTCTCAGAAACATCTAGAAAGTGAAGTCACGTGTCACACTCCTGACTGCAGGGTTACCCATCCTGCTACTGTGCTTAGAAGTATTCCAAAAAATTTTCAGGAGCTCGAGGGCATCTGAAATGCTATAAATACCCTCAATTTTCTGTACATAAATGAACCATGGAGTCATGAGTTCGTTACAAATTTCGCATATTTCCTTTCGTCGTATAGATTCAGCCTGGAGTTATAAGAAGAGCTTGGGAAACCGATTCAAGCATGCAGTTAGAAGATTGATCAGAAATAGCTAGGTAAGATACTGAAAGTCCTTATTTAACATCTTAAATAATCAAGTCGATGAATACATATTTTACAGTTTTTAGTTGAAAATAAAAATCTATGTCCATACGGGTTGGCATTGTATGGAACTGGTACGGCACTTTATAAGTCATAAGTACTAAAAAAATTTTCTTTTTAAAGGGAGAATTTTCTCAACTAAAATAAGTACATCTTTGACAGTTACTTCATCAATGGTCAAGTACATTTGTAGAGAACGACGAAAGTGAAATTGGTTATATCTAAAAACTGAATAAGCTAATACAACGTAGAAACTGTGTAGAGGATATCTTGGTGAATACAAATTATAACTTCTTATTGACAGTTAGAATTTATGTTCATAGATTTTATACTAGTATCTTAATATATACTGTTCACTTTTAAGTGTTATATGATTACCAAGATCAATTTAGAAAATATTTTGTAAACTTTACAATTCACCATTTAAGCTAGACCACCATTAAAAACCCGGATGCACTGGACATTGTTGAATACCGGCTAAGTGGTCTAGAGGTTAGGCATCCGAGCGCGAAACCGATGGTTCTACTAGAACGAAACGGCCGTCCAGTGCTTTCAGGTTTTCAATGGTGGACTAGCTTAGATCTACTCATGAATTCAACTATTAAAATTACTACAATCTTTATAAATCCTTATTCCGATAATCAACCATCCGTTCAAATACAATAATCCGATAAGGAATTTTATTTTAAATTAAGTAGTGTGGAATATGGGAAAATCAATTTATTTTGACAAGTGAATACTTCATTTTTGAAATTCGCAGAATACGACAAGTAAATGAATTCATAGTATTTCACCACTAATACGGAAAAATAGCTTCTGTGCCGTCACATCCGCGCAGAAAACTAAATATAATGGTCAATATACATTCCAGAATAGTAGATTAGACGATTAGAACATCATGTATTAAAATGACTGAAATGTCATCTAACGGAAGAATGATGGGGGAAGAAAATTCTACCCAATTACATTCCCTTTATGAAAATTACTCATCTGATTGATTTGGAGTGATTCTTATTTCACTTTCTACACATGAAAGGTAGAACAGTGAACTAGCCACCGTATGACAACAGCACATAATTTAGTCTGTAATCTAATTGGTTCAATCCCATATAGCCTACGTGTGTTTTTTTAGGATATCAGGATTCGAAGTTTTGATATGAAACTTTTCTGATAAAAAAAGAGCTGCCATAGCCGGTCTAACCGCTAAGATGTGTAAAATACTTAAATAACCAAATTTTAATTCTTAATGAGTAAAGATGATAGATTTTTTTTAATTCATGCCCAAACGAAGACAATTTCTTTGATATGCAAGCTTCAGGAAAGGTCATAGGAACGCTATAATTTTAATCTATGATCTATAAAACCTGTAGGAAGAAAAAAATGAGGCTAAATCAATAAACGACAATAGTAGAATTACTCCCCGAATAATAAAGCTTCAAACATATGATACTGGTGAATAAATAGCTAAATAAAGGTAGTATTATTTAATTTTAACAGTTGAATTCATGAGTCGATCTAGGCTTGACTACCACTGAAAACCTGGAGCACTGGACGACCATTTCGTTCCAGTATGGGACTCCTCAGTTTAGTATAGATTGACACGTGAATTCAACTTTGAAAATACTACAGTCTAAATAAATCCCCATACTGATCATTACTATTACTATTATTATTGACCACACAAACATGGAACTAAACATTTCAAGTTATAGATAATAATTATTAAACAATCCTACCTTCATTAAATTGTACAATTGTTCAGCTCGTAAGGTAGTCATTGGAAGCTGTTTAATCTTATTGTAATGTTGCATCAATTCAATATATACACTCTCAAGTTCCGATAAGGAATCTATTCATAAAAAATGATAGAAATATACGATATATAAAGATTATTCAGTATACGGTTCGGTTTTAAATAATATAATGGACAACTTCAATACAAAACCAAAGTATACAAAACAGGGTACGGTTGTTATATGAATAATCCCAGATGAGATTAATGCAAAATCTACCATGGAATATTACTTATAGATAATAATATGTAGTATTTAACTATTCAGTATTACAATCTTTAGACATTGTCCTAAATTATATCATTGTAAATAGTTGGTTAGCGTCAAAAATAGCTTTGCTAATATAAACATGTATATAACCAATGATTATTTAGATAAGTAAATCTGGAAGACTTTTGAAACCAAAGCTGGAATTAAATTTTATCATTACATTTACAATCAAATAACCTGTCAGCACAAATGTAAATATATATATATATATATATATATATATATATATGAGTTTGTCAACGCGTTCGACTACTTCACTCCCTATCCTTAGTTCAGGTGTTGACGCAGAACAGTCCTGAAGCAACAACTTGCATTTAGAGGGAGAGAAACGCATTCTAAACATTCTGGCATTGTTGCTCAGTGTTACCAAAACACTCTGCATTCTATCAGCGTCTTCATCAAACAGGACTATGTCATCTGCGTATTCAAAGTCGATAAGTGGACCTCCTGGAAGGAGATCAATACCCGAGAATTCAGTCGACCAGAATGTTATTTCCATCAATAGGTCTATGATGAAGTTAAACAAAAATGGAGAAAGTGGACAGCCTTGATGGACACCAATTGAGGTTGCAAAAGTAGATGACAGTTCGCCATAACCTCTCACTCGACCAGTAGTGTACGAGTAAAGAGCCTTTACAAGGTTTATGTACTTCTGAGGTACACCTTGCAATGACAGACACTGACACAGAATCTCGCGCTCTATAGAGTCAAATGCTGCTTTTAAGTCAAGAAAGAGCACCGTTGTCGGACGCCGATAAGTATGCCAATGTTCTAGAACCTGACGAATGGTGAATATGTGGTCAATGCAGCTACGACCAGGTCTGAAGCCAGCCTGATTTTCTCGTGTTTGCAGTCAACGAGTCTTAGTTAGCTGCCCGATAATTATTGAGGCTATTATTTTAGATGATATATTAGTCAAACTAATCCCTCTATGGTTATCACAGGATGATTTTGACCCCTTCTTATATTTCGCGACAATGAGTGATTGTGACCGGTCAGATGGAATTACGTCTAACTCCCAGATCTTAGCTAAAATATCAGTCAACCTAATCGCTAAAACTGAACCACCATCCTTAAACACCTCTGGAGCCAATCCATCTGGACCAGCTGCTCTTCCTCGTTTCAGATTAACTATAGCCTTTTGAAATTCAGCTAGAGTCGAGAGACCTACTTCAATGTTCCATTCACACTGTCTGGGAATGGAGGGTAGTTGTAGAGTAGCTGAAGACCAGCTGAATTGCTCCTCAAAGTGTTCCGCCCATCGTTCTAAACGTCTGGACTGGGAGCAGATGAGAGTGTCGTATTTTTCTGAGATAGTCTCACTTACACTTGACTTAGTAATTCCAGTTTCTTTTATTAGTATGTAGAGCTGTTTTGTGTTCATTATAGCCGCCGCCGTTCCCATCTCTTTTGCTTTCGATGCCCACCACTGCTCACGGTCATTCCTTAGACTTTTGCTTAACCTAGATCTGATTCGCTTTCGCTCATCATCGTGTTCAGAGCCTGTTGGGATGAGTTTACGGGAATCCATCAGTGCAATAGATCTTGAAGAAATCAATTGGTACTTTGTAACCCTGTAGTTTAAATCACTAATAGATGTCACTGCTGTTTCCACAGCAGCCTGTATATCTTTCCAAGCAAAATCTGGGTCAGCCTCGTTTTCAGAACTGCCTAAGTGTGACCTCAGTTGTTCCTGGAATCTACTTTTGGTTTTCTTGTTACTCAATTCAGTTCTAATGCGGTTTTTTAGTGTGGCTTTTTTGCGTCCAGTGAGGAGCAAGCAGATGCGTGGCCGTATTAATATATATATTTTTTTCAACGTAGTGCACGCAGTGTCCAGTCACCTAGACTGGTGGCCACATTGCAACATGGTCAACAGCATTCGATCTGCACTAATAAGGAATTGACACACATGACAATAATCACCACCCAGTGATCAATCAATTGTGATAAAAATAAATATACGCTAATCACGTCAGAGAATCAGCGGTAGATGACAAATACAAACACTTATTGTTATTATTATTATTATTATTGATATACAGATGATATATTCAAGAAGTACATCGTTTTCTGCATGATTCACATCAAACGTAAACGGGATTTTGTGGTAAGTATCATATCTTAGTTTTGGGTTTATCCCACCTCTTCTTCACTTATTATTAACCAATAACGAAGAATAGATTCCCATACTTGGCTCCAATCCAACTATAAGGGCCGATGAAACTATCTAGTTCACCAAACCGAAGGTAGAAAGGGTTTCAAACCTGCTAATTAGTGACGAAATGTTGAACCACTTAATTGTTAATCCAGTGCTTTACTCGCTTCCGTACGTCATTATAAAATGGGCATAAAGAAGTACATGAACTATTCTGCAGCATATACCAGAATAAAAGTTGCGATGACCTCTTTAAGCCATTTATTTATCTAAAATATTAGATATTTAATAGATTTATTATGCAACAGTGACATTGAAAATTTTAATGATCATCGAATGTTGCTTACCTGAAACAGACATTTATTATAATTAAATTATAAGGACATAAAATACTGTTTATATTTAAACATAACATCTAACTTAAATCATTTATGTAAGCAGTTTGATGAATGTCAGTATAGTATGTTCAGTATTTAATTTGTATTGGTTATTTGAACCTCCCCATTCTTTATTAAGGATACAATCAATGCTATGAGGATTGTTTCGATATTGCCCTCACGTCGCAAGTATTATAACACAGATGAATGGTGACTAGTAGTGAAATCCACGATGAGCGTTTCGTCTTGTTTTTAACTCGGCAGCAGAATGTACCTGCATTCCTCAGATGATGTTAACTTAACTCTTGAGTGTGATGCATACTGCTGCATGGTCAGGATAACCCTTCAGAACGGTGTATTCTATTACAATCAGAATGAGTTATTCAACTATTTTCAAAACCTCAGTATTAAGTTATTCAAATATGGATTATAAAGTGATGCACTTCTAGCTAAATAAGAAGTCATCACAACCATAAGGCAGATGTTACCCACTGATAGTTAGTTCTACTCTCATTGTAAAACAAAAGGTATTAAGAAGAAACAATTGTATTCATTGACCATAATCATAATAATTGACTTGATCAGAACAACCTTCTACTACCCAGAATTTTTAAACATCATAACATCTGGACATGTACTAATTTGAGGCAAACAATAAATAACAAAACTCCATGTAAATAATTTCAACAAATACTATTGATTTTCCTGCAGTGAACGATTTTAAAAAAATCACAGATACTATCCAAGAGTTCATATACCAACATCGCAATTCACCGAAAGGTATAGAAATATAATGAAAATTCATTAGTCAATAAATAAAGATACAATTACTCTCAACATATATGTAGTCCAAGTAGGGTAGTGTGAAATAAAGTAAGCAAATAATAAAACAAACCTTCAACAATTGGAGAATGTAACGGAGACACAGAAGATAATCGCCCGTGATCTGAACGACTAGGTAAAGAGGATGGAGATGACAGAACACCACTATCTGTAGTATTTTTCACAGGTTTATTTTCACCTGAAGGTATGCGACTAGAATTTTTAAATATATTTAAGTCTTTCCAATTTACAGGTAGATCAGAAATAGACATGGAAGTTGGTTGTGGCGTTGGAAGTGGTGCAGGTGATGAAGAATTTGTAGATAATGGAGATGATACTGTTTCGCCACTATTTAATACATAACTTCCTAATTTATCCAACTGACTACCCATGTGATTTATTTCGCCAATCAATACTTTATTGACATCAAACTGAGGGTCTGTAAAGAAAATAATAACATTTCATAATGACAGACAGGTATGTTTATTCGTGCTTAAAGGAAATCACATGAAAGGAGCTAAGGATAAATTTTTGTAATTATGATAAATGAACTATGTGACTTAATGGGATAAAACTGTGGTTCACATCATAGGTGAGTACATAAAATGTTTACAGTAAGAAAGGAAACTTTATGTATTTTTTAAAAACTAAATCCTAAAAAGATCATTTTTATCACTCAAAAGACATCACTTGAAAGCTTTTCCAAAAAACTGAATATAAAGAAGAAAGAAGCGTATCCTTCGTGAACGATATTAAAGTTAGTGGACATTACAGTGATCAGTTTTATAGCACACAGATTTATCAACTGAAGAACAATTGGGCAGGCAACAACTAGAGACAATCGTTTGGAGATGGTTTCTACAATATGCGTAAACCACATCGAAAAAGGTTTCAAACCAGAACAATATAAAAGACTGAGAGAATAGTTAGACAGAACTATAGTTGCTTAGAATAGAAAAACCTAAGAACATTTATCTACTCGACCAGTTTATTGTGCGAAAAATTACAGGTACTTAAGATAATATTGTGAAAGGATGTTAGGAAATGTTACTTCATATATCTGTAAAATTAAATTATAAGTTTTACTCTTCAGCTTCTTGTTTAGTTCTACACTTAACAGGCTGGTATTAATGATTAACAATTCAATGTAGATCAACAGATTTTTCAGTTACAGATTAATGTTCTTGACTTCGAGTTATACCTTAAATGTGACGGCTAGCGATATTGCTTAACTCTCAAAACCACAAGTAGGTTTGGGACTATAACGTAGAGGCTAAAACGGAGAAACTATTATTAATGGACGAACCAATCAGATTTAAGATTCCAGGTCTTGGATTTCAGTGTGAAACTCATGTAGCCATATGGCTAAATAGCATTTTGGCATTAAAGCTGATATCAGTTCATAATAAAAATCGTACCTCTAATTTCTGACTCTGAAGCCCAGCTATAATTTCTAATCTTAATTCCTCACATTAATTTATAACCCTCATTTAACACCAGCAGTTTGGTTGACATTCTCAAGATCATTTCAGGAGCGCTCAAAGGTCGTCCATAAATTATATTCTCACCGCTGAAAGCTGAACATCTTAACCAAAGATGTATCGCTTTATAGTTTCGTGTTCACATGAAAATGTTATAAACTTGATATCAATGCTATCTCCTACATATGACCATTTGAAAATCTAATGTAGATACAATTTTACAAGACAACACAAACTTGAAATTCAATAAACTGTAGAACAAGAATTACCTTTACCCCAACGAACTTTAGCTAAATCATAATAATTTTTCAATGTTCCATAATCCAATTGCATTGTGACTAAATCTGCATCTGGAATAAATCGATGTTCATTTGCGTACAATTCCATTGTAGACAAACGTGTTTGTAAATCAGCAACACGTAGAAGCAATTCCATTTGAATAGCTTCAGGACCACACACTATATCGTCATCTAAATCGGGCGTACCGTTGACTAATGGCGCGGCAACAGTAGAAATGGCTTTCTGTGAGTGTTGAATAATGTCTATTGGATCTTTTGAACAGTCTGGTTGTTTATTTTGATCACTAATATGATTTAAATTCGTCGGTGTACTGTAAAACTCTTCTTCATTGATAATCACTTCATTCTTGTTACATCCATTGTGTGATTCCAAAACTGTTTATAAAAATTTAAAATAAAAACAACAAGACGTAAGATGAAGTGGCAAAAATAAATTATGAACAGTGAAATGATAAATAATATTAAGTTATCGTAATGAGCAATCTTATTTAAGTGACTAATTTGCTTTGGTAAAATAATAAATACATATGTTTATTTAAACAAATAAACATTTTTAAAATATAAAGTTGGATAATCGAACACAGTGAAATCCAGGACATACATTTCGTTTACCCTGAACATCATCAGATGAATCTTATTAAATCTCAGTGACGATTTCCACATTAGGACTTAAACTCTTTATTTTGTATCATAGTTGCAAAAAATCAGAAGCTAATCACTTAGATAATTCAGTGGAACTTTTCTTCTTTTTCAGACGCGCATATCTAGTTAGCAACTTATTAATTAGGAAACATAAAAAACTGCGAGCAATTTTAGAAACAAATTGAAAAGCTCCTTTTAATACGTTTGTGGGTCAATCAGAAATCAATAACTGATAGGTACATGTGATTGACCAAGACATGATGTTCATTTTCAAGGACTAAAGAATAAACCACTGACGCTTAATTTCCTAAAGTGTTATATATATACTCCATCTTTCGAGCTCCCAAGCTCTTGTATATAAGTAGCATGTATTATTACCAACTCCTGGACACTGTGAGTCACAACAATTTAGATTGCTAATTGTAATCAAGCTAAAAATATTGAAATTAACTAGTGAAACATAGTAAGAAAACAAACATCCCAAGATAATCACGAGTAATATTGATGAATGTCAGTATTCACGTATACACTTTCTTGTTGTTGTTCAAAGTGTAAAAAAAATCAGGAACTAATGATAAATTTTATTATTCAGTGAATTCTATATTGTACTTGAAAAATGAAGTGAAAATTAAACTGAAAGATTATTAGTTAACAGTTAAAAAGGAAAAACTAGATTATTAAACCAGTTTTCTTCTGAAAAAATAACTGGGAGTCGGATATAGTTGACATTGAAATAGTGCACTGCTGAGGAGTCTTATACTAGGACGAGAGACGGCCGTCCAGTTCTTCTAGGTTTTCAATGGTGGTCTAGCTTAGATCGACTCGTTAATTTAACTGCGAAAATATGAAGTATAAAAACAGCAATTCTGTATCAAAGTAGTTTCAATAAACAAATATAAACTTATTACCGGAAAATATGTGATTTCTATTTGATGACGATGATAAATTCATTTGATTTTGTTGTTTGTGTTGTTGTCCAGGAGAGCATGAATTTGCTATTGTATTTCTTCTTGAGTTGATGGACGTTTTCATCGGATCATTGAGAAAACGAGAAGCATCATCGCCAGAACATAGAGAAGGATCAGAAGATTTTCTGAAGTGATTTTGACCCAGTATAGGATTATTACTACTTGTTCTTGTATTTGGAGAGCATGAGGTAAAAAAAAGGAAATAACGGTATGTAAAACTATCATTGCTGATTAATAGTACATAAATTTCAAAGCAGTATATGTACTAGGGATAACTGATTTATCGTTATGTAAAATCAGTTACAAGCTATTCAATTAATAAAAAAAATTTCATAAGGTTCAATTAAATGATGATCTTCTAAAGGTAAGCACTTAGGGTATTGTTACAACATCAATTTAATTAATCAGTGTATTATGAACATATGAAAGATAAATTAGATAAAATGAACTTACGTGATACGATCTTGACTATGAAAAACAGATTGTTGATTACCATAATTATTTATGTTAGGCGTATCTTTCTGACGATGAATTTGACTAGAATTACTGATACTACCTAGTCCAGTTTCCCAACTATCAGAAGTCACTGATAAAATTCTTGTATCGTGTGTCGATGAATTTCTTTTTATTCGATTTTTCTGTTGTTCTAACAAAGGTGTTGATGAATAATGTAGATTATTATTATTATTATTACTAGAATTATTTCTAGTCTGATGATAACCACTATTCACTTGAGGATAACCTACATCGGATACACGCCTATTATTAATGTTGGAATGTAGAGTTTGCATACTATGAGATCTTGGTTTATTTGATACATTCTGAGATGGTGTATCGCTCGGATTGTTTACATCAATTCCAACGCGTATTCCCATACGTAACTGATCTATGGTAACTTCAGCTAGAGCATGTTTCGTTAACAGATTATCGTAGTACATTTGTAATTGTTTTATATAATCATCTTGTTGTTTACGAATAATCATAGCCTGGAAGAATAAAAGAAAAAAGTAAAAAAACAGTCATTACTAAGTTTCAATCAATTGATTAAAAGCGTATGCGAAAAAAATCTAATAGAGAATAGGAACTGTTATGCTTTGTGATTATCGTGGAAACAGCAATAAAAAACACAATAGTCATTCGTGAAAATATCATGTTATTAAGGAAAGGTGATTCAATAATTAAGGATATGTTATAAGAAACTATACAAATCTCATAAAAAGGGAAATGGAGTAATGTATGTAACATTCGCTGAAAAGACTGGAATAGCGATGGTACGAGTATGTTGTGAGGATGATTGTACCATTTTTTGCACAAATAGATCAGATTTATTCACATAGATACCGGTCGATTCTGTTTTTTGACTTAACCAACGACGTAGTTTACTGGATAAATAATACCCCATCCACGTGAAATCCATATTTCCAATTGTTTTTTATAAAAAAAACATTTGATTTGCATACCCTAAGAGTTTTATCCGATGTAACAGCACAATCACTTTAGATCTAACTATAAGACATGAAAAAATCATTGAAAACAAATGCTAGCTCATATATTCTTTGTTTTTCGGGTGGAATATTCTAAGAGTATTTTTTAAAATACATGGAACACACAGATTAACTAGCTTATTCCCATTCAAGATTAACTGGAAAGAACTTAGTGGATAAAAGTTGCCATTTTTGCGCCCAACTGTTTTTGCTTATACATAAAAGAAATTCAGATTGCTAAAGACTACAACCAACATCCAAGAAATAAGACACACACAATCGTTTAGAGGTAGCGAAAGTAACAACTGATAATAAACTTTATATAGAATAGTAGATTAACTGGTTTAGGGACAAACTGAATGGATGAATATCATTATTAGCAACGCTTTCAATTATATGGAGAGAAATAATTAAGTCATATAGTATATTTGTATGTTCAACTAAACAATTGGAATTTTATGATTCATTCAATGGTGAAGTATGACATAATAATATACCCATTGAGCATGCTGGTGGCTGTTTAAACTAATTAGCTCAATGGACAAAATGTTGGCGTTTGTAAGGAAAAGTACCGAGATCAAATTCCAATATGAAACTCAATATAAGTATGAAGATATATTCCGTTGACGAGTCATATATAGGGTGAAAAATGGACTTTCTGGATTTCACTGCTAGTTAAAACCTAACTATTCTTTAAGTGATCGATATTGTCCTGTAAGATGAACAAGTTTTTACTACCTGACAAAGCCACCGCCGAAAACAAAATCAAAAGACAGAAAAACAAATAAAACAAGAAGTAATCTAAAACCAACCCCCCATTCCATATGATTTCAGTTATTTTGTATTTTATCGTTATAATAGAAAAAACCTATTGAACTAGGCAGAAATCAATAGAACTGTTGCATAAACAGAGAGTAAACGCATAGTATTAAGGTGACAATCTGTAACCAGTGTCCTTGTCAACGAAATATCGAAGCATTCGTTTCAAGTAAAAAGTGCGCCAAACTATTTTCTAACTAATCTACTAAATGATTTTCTTGTAAACGTTTTTTTTGTTGTTGACAAAAACGAAATGTTTAAAGCGTAAAATAATCAGAACAAATACGTATATACTGAAAAATTTAAATATTTTACTAACAATAATGTGGGTCTAATTCATGTAACAATGAATGATAAAGAATTAGAATCAATGTATACAATTATGTATATATATATATGATTTATAATATAATAAGTAACAATACAGAGTGTTACATAAATCGAGTTTTGCACTGTAAGGTTATGTGAAGTTAAGTAATATTCAGTCGAAACGATAAGTTTTTTTTGTCTCATATATATTTATATCATAGGAATAAAATATTTTAGTGACATAAACTGTACGCAAAACAAAACAAACTGTACTATAAACATCATCTTAAAAAAAATAGTGTTATAAACTGTTCATTTACTTTATAACTGATTTTTAATCTAATATATTGAAATTTATATGAATACGATTTAAAAAGTGAAGTGTTATTTGTTAGTATTCAATAAACACATTATTACCGGTTAAATCAGTCAGTCAGTTACAACGTAGGACCAGGCACATATTATGCATCGGTCTATATCGCATTAGCACAGTAAAATGAACATCGTATTCATAGGAGTAGCTAAGTAAATGGTAGTAACATATAAAGCAAACACTACATATAAGGATATAGTACAGTTAAACGAACAATTTTATCTAGAGTCTTACATTTCAGAAACCTGAGAAATAAGTGACGAGTTTACTAATCTATTCAGTTGCATAAAGAAATTATAAACACATTGTATTCTGTTGGCAAACATGCATCAAGTATATATATATATAAAGTAATACTGAATGAATGAGGTTAAAAGGGAGTTGAAATCGGGAAAAATTCAAAGCAACCAATTTCTTATCAATTATGTTACACAAATATACCCCTAATCTTTTCTACTACTATTGATTCTGTTACTTTCACTAATCTGAGCTTTGTTTTGATAATTTTGTCTCGCGGGGCTAATATAATGTGGTAAATTGAATAGATGCGTATGTATTAGGTTCGATCTCCAATATGAATAAAGGTAACTATCCAATGGATATTTATAACAACACCATGTGAGTTAGTTGTGATCAGCTTGCAGGTAACAATGTAATTCAAGATAAAAATGCTATTGACTGATAGAGTATTCACCCTTATATTTACAACACAGAATAGCATACAGAAATTAAAACGAAACGCAGTCAGTAGAGTTTTGTAGCTGAAATGATAGAAAAATATGTTTATAGTCTAAAGGCAAGAGTTTTGCCTTCCACTGTTCAACAGATTTTTATTCAAATCGTCACCACCTTAGCATAGTATAAGAAAATAGTCTGACAATGAACTCTATCTCAGATAATCCATGTAGAAAATGATATGAATGTATATCCTGTTAATAGAAAAAGAGATAATACAGTGGAAACAAAAACGACGCTATATCATTAAAAACGGATACTAATGCATCTTAAGGAAAACACAATGATAAAAATAATAATGGAAAAAATTAGAGAGAAGTAAGAATAACTTCGACGTACACACAAAAGCCAGAAAAAGTGACGAATCGAAAATTCATACTCCTTAAGGAATGTACATTATACGTAGTATCGATCAAGTATATATGCTGAGAGAGTGAAGGAGAATATATCAACTGGATGAAGGACAACACAATGTCAATTGAAAAAAACAGTGAACTTTAAATTATTGTCAGTTAACTATATCACAATGAAGAGTACAAAAACCTTTACTGTTTTTTTTTCTTACTACATACTACACAACAAATGTGTGTAAACAAATACAAGTTGACCCATGTGCGAAGTAAAACTGATCTTTTCTATTAATTCCACTACAAAATGCTAAACACTTACACATATTAACAGAAATGTAGGGCAGTGGACAACTAAACAAATAAGCAAGTTAGATATTACATTGTCGTACGACAAAAAGCTAAAAAAAAGTACGAAAATATATTATCCTAATAAAAAGTTCACTTATTCATGATCAAAGGAAAGAGAAATTTACCGGTCAATAAAGCAACATAAGAGCAGGGAAAAAGAAGAAGAGTCAGTCAGATACAACATAGGACCAGGCACACACATGCATCGGTCCAAACTGCCACACCTCATTAGCACAAGATGAACAACAAATTCATAGAATTAACCACAGAAGTAATAACTGATTTGTCGTCATTCCCCAATACTCTGCGTCTAACCACACTATTACGTACCTGTTGATCCCAGCAGATACGAGCAATACTTTTAAGGTTAGGCGCCCGAAAATTATTGAGGCTAGTATATTAGATCTATATTAGTCAAACTAATCCCTCTATGGTTATCACAGGATGATTTTGACCCCTTCTAATATTTCGCGACAATGAGTGGTTGTGACCAGTCAGAAGGAATAACGTCCAACTCCCAGATTTTAGCTAAAATATTAATCAACCTAATCGCTAAAACTGAAACACCATCCTTAAACACCTCTGGAGCCAATCCATCTGGACTAGCTGCTCTTCCTCGTTTCAGATTAACTATAGCCTTTCGAACGTCAGCTAGAATCGAGAGACCTACTCCAATGTTCCATTCACATTGTCTGGGAATGGAGGGTAGTTGTAGCTGAGAGTAGCTGAAGACTAGCTGAATTGCTCCTCAAAGTGTTCCGCCCATCGTTCTAAACGTCTGGACTGGGAGCAGATGAGAGTGTCGTATTTTTCTGAGATAGTCTCACTTACACTCGATTCTCAGATGCGGGGTCATGAATGCGCAATGTGGGACCCTATACTACGGTGAAACGGCCATCCATTGCTTTCAAGTTCTCAATCGTGGTCTAAAATCATTTCGTGATTTAAAATCTACGAAAATTCTATGATATCCACAAAACCTTATAGTGATAATTAAGAAATCGTATAACAATTACTTTACAAAGAGAACACACCAATGACTGGATTTATTGGCCGATCTAAACTAAAACCGTACCAAAGGACAAAATTCTGACCACGCATTTGTCCCTAAAACCTGAGTTCAGTATCTAACGTCATATAATCAGTGAATATGATTCAATAAATCAGTATACGCAGATGAGGATATTTTCTCCTACTGATATCACGTGATTAAGAAAGGTTTCGAATTAGAGCTCGTGTGTTTAGGACTTTTTATTCAATATTAATATAAATATCTCTAACCAACAAGCATCAAAGCATAGTCTAAATTATATTAAGATATTATGACTGATCAACAGAACTAGATCATTTTTAAGGGCTATTCAAATAAGACAGCAGTTACAAACACATGATCAATCAGTCTAAACAATATGTATCCCATGAAAATAATTTCATTTATAGAAGGCAATTATCCGTATCACATGTACATAATTAGTTCATACTGACTGTAAACAAATCTATATGAGTCATTTAATGTATATTTTTAGGACTATTTACACAAACAAGATGGCCATGTTCTTTGTTTCGTTGAAGCTTATGCAGGTAAATCGTGTGTTTCTATATTAATATTATGTAACTAGATAATCTCATCAACTATACCAATATTAAAGATAATAATAATAATAATAATAATAATAATAATAATAATAATAATAATAATAATAATAATAATAAAGAAGCCTTAAATGAACTTGATCTTAGAAAAAGATAAATATGATCAAATTTTATGTTGATTAAAATATGATAAAACAGATGTTAGTATGTAAATGAATTTAGTATATAATCCATATCCCTATTAATTATCGGTAATAATAAACAATTATAATAATACAATGATTTATAACTTGTAGAGCATAAACAAAAGTGATAGACTGTAGTAAATACTATGGCAACGAAGTTAAACAATAACTTGGTAAAGTATTAAAATTGATTATTATGTAAGTTAAGTGTGCATCTTTTGTGTTATGAATAGAAATATATAAACAAGTATGTGCAGTCGATTTGATCTTGGATAATTATTTAAATAAAATTCTAATCTAAAACGAATAGTTTAATGATAAAATATTCAGTTGAGAATATCTTAAAATAATGGATACTATCAGTGATGATTAGATTAAAAAATGTGTAACATAGCACACTAACTTACGCGTTTAAAGGGATTGTACTCGTTGCATGAACCGAAGACCCTCAGTATAATTCGCTTTAAGGTATTGCGAGGACACAATATAAATCTCAAAGTAGGACGATGCAAGACTAACTAAAGAATACAACACAGTTTTCAACAATTTCTCACCTGGTATCAGTTTGTAAACGAAACTAATATTCAATGCTGGAAATTATATATATGGCCGTTTATACGGATTCTTTATTAAGCTTTTATTCATATAACTAATTGAATTCTAGGTAAAAGTAAAGTTACCAGGTTTATTAATGAAACCACAGCTGATTTTCAAATAACAGTTGATCAATCACTGAATAGATTTTATTGATATGTTCGTGTAATCTTTTAATCCTTAACGAATTCAATCGATCAAGTGGATCGATATCACAGACATCATGTCAGAATATTAGGGGCAAAGAAAGTAGTTGGGAGAAACAATAACTTGAGCACGAAACACCGAAGCAGCTTAATCCGGTTATCTGGGCCAGACTAAGCTATATCAAATTATCAGGATGGAACGCCTGATCAGCCTAGAGTCCTAGGCTTTGATAATTATATGTTCTGACCTGCACAGTTAACCTTGAACCAATGAAGGCTACACTCCTAATGGTACACTATCCAAAAGCTTTTCTTTATCCTCTGTCCTAAGTCCGAAGAGAGGTTAGCAAACAGGTACCATGATATATATTCTAATCACCCGGTACACAGATACGAACAATACGAACACACAACACACTAAATCAGAAATCGTACTTTAAACACAACCGTAACATAAATGGAAGAGAGTGAATTAAACAGTACATAATTAATTAATAATGATTAAGGAATAGCAAAAAAACGTACAATGACATTGAATAGGTTCATTGGAAGCTTACAATAAAAATACATAAATACTATAGCTGCAGTTACTCTCTAATTATTCAATAAAAATAATAATCCGAAAAATAATTACAAAAATTTCAACTTTTCAAATACTTGTACCGTTATAATAAAAAAAATAACATAATTCTCTTTTCTTTAAGACCCCTTTTCATTTTTCATAATTAAATGACCTGATAATAACAACGTTTAATGAATATTGACTAGAGATTTATTTCATATTTAAACTACTCAAATATATGAATACAATAATTATATGTTAAATTATTTCAGTGTCCTAAGAGTTACTAAGAGGTACTCATCAAACAAGAAAAAAAAAGATTGAAATTAATTAAATCAAGTAAATTGAATAATCGATAACAAGGCTAGTAAATGAAACAAACGTCAACTGAATCATTTCACAAAAGTATCATAATTAAAACTATTACTTATAAAATAATTCATTTTAAATTATTATAGTTTAGGATAGATAATATTGGTTAGGAAATTACAGGGTTCTATAAATAACTGATCAATAAGGTGAGTGTAAAATTGTGTTATATCCGAGCGAAGATTAAATCACGAGTAACTTCTGAGACCTATTAATGGACAAATATTATTTATATATTATTATGGTATAACTATTCAATAATTAGATTGTGTATATTTATATTCCTCTTATTATAAGCTTTATTTTGACCTATAATTTATTATTGTACGATTTACGGTTCTTAAGCTATGTTCAGTTTATTGACTACTGCCCCCCACGTTCACAGCCACTTTTTGGCTTCATTGTGTAAAAATGTTATTTTCTACTTTATGGTGTGTTGCGGTCTGTTTGGTTGATATGTAAACCCAGTATGTCTGAAATAAATGATTCGATCCGATTCGCATATTGGAAGCTGGTATTGGTGTTCTGGACTCAAATGGACGGGCTAGGCGGACATAGGACCAATAAGGACGCTAGGTTGCCCATACCGCTCGAACGTCATTGGTTTGGCACAGTGCTAAGATTGTATCAGTCGTATTTTGATTGGTGGGTAAATCACGTGATAAAAAGCCGGATATAAAGTCAAAACAAGTTGAGCTTAGCTTGTATTAGTTCATAAAAAAGATATCACTACAGAATACACAAATGTCAAAATAAAACACTTAATTAAACAAATTTATTTGCCTTCATAAACAATTGTGCATAAATCAAATATATAATATTAATCTAATAAAAAAGGAAACATGATAAAAAGATGAATCTTTAAAAGTAGTTTTCTAACTTACTTCTTTTAATTTTGCCTCTAATTCAACTTGTTTTGAAGAGGATTCTGGTGTATCAATTTGTGAATCTTTAAAATTACAATTAGATGAGTTAAACACCTTTTGTATTGAAGAAGACGATGAACGACAATGCGCGTTTGAAGATTGGGCAATTTCACTATGAGTTCTATTAGGATAGAAAGAATTAAAGAAATAAATATTGGTAAGATTATGAAATAATAATGTCGTATCTTTCAGAATAATCAATTAGTGAACAGCTTCAAGTTTACAGTGTCTGCTGAATGATTACTATCCAAAGATTTAGATCGAATGTTTGTATTTAAAAAGATAATGTTGATTATATCATATCTTTTTTGACATCAGTCTGTTACGCAATATTATACTTCACGCTCTCAACTAGAAACTCTTCTAGATTCTTTTTGTTCCTTATTTGAATTTTAATCAAGACTTTTCTGTGAATATGAAGTGAGTATACCTATTTTCAGTAAATAATGTTATTATTTCTGCATTGTAAGTAATTGAAGTGAATCTATGAAATTTTATCAATGTCACAACGTACCTCTCCCTAAAGATATCAATATGAAATAACTAGAACTTTTTTGTGAAAAATAAATATCCTCAAGGATCTGCCTAACAGAACATAAAAAGAAAACAGAATGCATAACACCATTGTAGCAACATCGAGAAATTTTATATGAATGAGAATCTTGTATGAAGTTTGAAATAAAAATATACTGGATAGTTAGATAGGTAAAACAATTATGATGTTTTAAGTTTTAGCCTAAGAATTGTACAGAAAAGTAGAAAAAAATGTGAAAAACGTTTTTTTTTATAAATAAGATAATGACTAACATTTAGTCAGTCAGTCAGTCAGCTACAACGTAGGACCAGGCACATATGTGCATCGGTTCAAGTTGCCATATCTCATTAACACAACAAGATGGACACCGGATTCATAAAAGTAGTTAATTCAGAGGTGGTAATATATAAAAGAAAGATTGCAATAAGGATATAGTACAGCAAGAAAGAATTAGTTAGTAGAAAGAAAGATATGAAGCAATTTTAATCTCTTAGTTTAAGGGAAGACAGAGAGTGTATACACCGACGCCATTGTGACCGATTCTGAGCCCTGTCACCCACAGTCTCCAACCACTGGTTACGATAGTCACGCGGACCCCAACCAAGTAGTCTGCATCTACCAACATGGCTTAGACTAGAGGTTAGTGACTTCAAGCACTGATTCCACGTTTTGGTTTGGCCGCCCCTAACTTTCTTCCAACCATCCCGAACACCGGTTAGCATTGGACTTTGTGGTAATCGGTGTTCGGACATACGTAACAAGTGGCCCAACCATCTCAGTCGATGAAGATTCACATCCTCATCAACTGATTTACCATCATTTCCTAATACCCTGAGTCTAACCTCACCATTACTTACCCGGTGATCCCAGCAGACGCCAGCAATATTTCTAAGGCGTCTGTGGTCAAATACTAGTAGCTTACGAGTATCTTCTACTCTTAATGGCCATGTTTCGCTGCCGTAAATTAAAACAGAACGGACTGCCGCGCAGTATACTCGTCCGTTTATTGATAGACGGATATCTCGCCTTCGCCATAGGTGAAGTAAGTTGGCAAAAGCCAAGCGAGCTTTTCGAATCCGTGCTGAGATTTCGTCAGACACCAACCCTTTAGGGCTGATCAGACTTCCAAGATAAGTGAAGTTGTCAACTCGTTCGACTACTTCACTCCCTATCCTTAGTTCAGGTGTTGACGCAGAACAGTCCTGAAGCAATAACTTGCATTTAGAGGGAGAGAAGGGCATTCCAAACATTCTGGCATTGTTGCTCAGTGTTACCAAAAGACTCTGCATTTTATCAGCGTCTTCATCAAACAGGACTATGTCATCTGCATATTCAAAGTCGATAAGTGGACCTCCTGGAAGGAGATCAATACCCGAGAATTCAGTCGACCAGAATGTTATTTCCATCAGTAGGTCTATGATGAAGTTAAACAGAAATGGAGAAAGTGGACAGCCTTGAAGGACACCAAATGAGGTTGCAAAATCAAATGACAGTTCGACATAAGCTCTGACTCAACTAGTAGTGTTCGAGTAAAGAGCCCTCACTGGGTTTATGTACTTCTGAGGTACACCTTTCAATGACAAACACTGACACAGAACCGCTCGGTCTACAGAGTCAAATGCTGCTTCTAAATTAAGAAAAACTATCATTGTCTGACGCCCATAAGCATGCCTGTGTTCTAGAACCTAACGAATGGTGAATATGTGGTCAATGCAGCCAGAACCAGGTCTGAAGCCAGCTTGATTCTCTCATGTTTGCAGTTCACGAGTCTTAGTTAGCTGCCCGATAATTATCGAGGCTTGTATTTTAGATGATATATTATTCAAACAAATCCCTCTATGGTTATCACAAGATGATTTTGACCCCTTCTTATATTTCGCGACAATGAGTGGTTGTGACCAGTCAGATGGGATAACGTCATACTCCCAGATTTTAGCTAAAATATTAGTCAACTTAATCGCTAAAACTGAAACACCATCCTTAAACACCTCTGGAGCCAATCCATCTGGACTAGCTGCTCTTCCTCGTTTCAGATTAACTGTATCCTTTTGAACTTCAGTTACAGTTGGGGGACCTACTTCAATGTTCCATTCACACTGTCTGGGAATGGAGGGTAGTTGTAGCTGAGAGTAGCTGAAGACCAGCTGAACTGCTCCTCAAAGTGTTCCGCCCATCGTTCTAAACGTCTGGACTGAGAGCAGATGATGAATAAGATAATGACTAACATTTAACTCATGAATTTAAGAAAACCCCATCAATAAAACAATCGGAAACGTTAGAAATGAAGAAATAAGACTTACTCATTTACATTATTATCAATTGTAGGATTATTATGGATAGTAGGTGAATTGTGTTTAATTGAATTATGAGACTCAGTGATTGAATTACTTCTTACAACAGGCTAAAAAAGTAATTCAGATAGGAAAATATTTTAGAAAAACTATTAATCAACGAAATCAAATGTGCGAGAAAATCTATAAAAGAAATCGTAAGAATTGAATCGACTTGTTACGCACATTAATGAATGAGAATATGTGATTATCATCAACTATGAAACGACACATTAGGGTCAATTAGTTTGAAAAGTGAAATGTAATTTACCTTTAAGTGTAAGAAATAAACAATATTATCACCATTTCAATAAGTCTAACGCCATGGGCTAAGCGAAAACCCTAAAGGCCACAATAGAGACCGCAAACCATGGTCACCACAGCCACAGTTAGAGGAAACTCATGAATGAAAATAATACCAGTGGTAGTCGAGAAATATAAAGAAAAGGAAACAGAAAATGAGTGAAAAATAGTAACTAACGAGCAATAAATAACAGCGTATTCAAGATTTAGAAGTAACAGTAATAACTAAACTGATTAATACAATTACATTTGACTTGAGGTTAAGTGCATTCCTTCCAGTTAACTAAGTCAATATCTCTACCAAACTTGGGTTGATTTCAGAAAGACGTCTATACTCTTATAGTTTACAACCACAGACTGACCACAGACATATAATGAAAGCCAGAACGCACTAGATCACTATTTCGTCCTAGTATGAAACTATTCGGCAGTACCCATCCGTGACAACATTTGGGATGTAACCAAAAACTTTAGATCTAGCGGAGAGCAGCTATTCAGAGTTTTACATTCCGAACTTCAACCGTTTCACAAAATCTCACCAATTAGTGGGTAAATTCCTCACTGCCCGATATGATTAAGTTCGTGTGGTCACAGCTCATTAAAACTCCGAGAATCTTCTCTCGAAGTTATTCACTAATGTGAATATAGCTATTATCCCTGTTTTTAAATGGTTGTATAGTTAAGGTCAGTCCGTGATGTAAATTATAGGATTCAATAATCTCTACAAACGCCTTTATACTAATAACTCCTTCAATCGTTACAAAGAATCATAAGTAAACAAAGGATAACAAATAGGATATTTCCTATCAAAATGACAGTATTTGTCACTGACAGGTGCTAATATTTTTACTGAATTATAATAATACCAGAGATTTTAAGACTTTCCAAAGTATATCTTAATTCTTGAATTATTAGGAGATTATAATTTCTTTCATTTAAATTCGTTTGAGATAATTTTAAGCAATCAAAATAAGTGAAGCTTAAACACACAAGTACATGTTAATTCCCATGAAGTGATATTGAAAAAATCTGAATGTATAACACTTTAACTTTGATGTAATTAAAACAAAATAGGAAACACCCAATTCTTTGAAATTTAATTGTTCGTTTTATTAGAATTTTGTGTGAATTGTGAATTGAACACTTGCTAATTAGTGAATAATGAAATTTACTTATGTAAGTTATATAACAGTTAGATTCAATCTTAATCTCATTTAAAAATGAAATGAAAATGAATCCTAATAAACGTTTATATTCTAAATTGCCTTTTTTTCTTTTCTATTTGTACGTTTGATAAATGCATATCAACCATGAAATTAGACAGTAATGAAAACGTACATAAAGAGAGACTTATTCAGTTGTCATAGAATTACATTATGCAAGTCTACTGACTCAATTATCAAAAATAAACAACAGATAAGATTATGAATATCTAAATCGAGCTATTAATCAGGGTGATCATTTAAAGGTGTTTTACTATGAAACAATAAACCACTGTCAATTGAACAACACTATGATAATCATCAATACAAAACAAAATTTTATCACTATATGACTGATTGAAAAACAGAGAAAATAATTCATTCCCTTGTTCATTTAAGATACATCATATTCCGATTTCAATTATTCCAACCACTGTTAACAGCGACCTCACAGACTTCATTTACCATATCTACCTTCCACTCATTAAACGTATATGCAGTTGGCAACATCACAAGCTGCATCAAAGCGCATAAATTTCAGGTCTAAGTTCTTTATTTAACCTAACGGCTGAAAACTTTGAAGAGAACTTTAACAAAGGTCACATGTTTTGCATCCATCGTCTGCCTTCAGAAAACTACAAAAAACGTCGCATTACGACTTCGATAGTTTTAGTAATAAATAAGCAACAGACATAAGCTATTATCATTGTTCTCATAGAGATTGGTAAATTTTAATGCAAACTCTGTTATAGTTACACCTGATTAAACATTTTATTATACCTATTTCATTTCACGCTTCATAGTTAACCGGAAATAAATGAAATACAAACACATTTGATGTGTTACACATAAACTTTTGTTTTTTCAATGATTGTTAAGGTGTAATTTGAAAGGGATTATTAAAATAATAAATTAAGTGTTTATCTAATCACATAAAATATAGAAAAATAAATAAAACCAAATCCATACTTCGTTTTATACAATTGTGCATCCTAAATATTACTTAAAAAGAAGACTCTGTTAACGGACATTTTGTACTTCTGATGAAAATCAAGTTCTGTCAAAGATTCGAACTCATATGCACATATATCTATTTGTTTCAAATAGTTAATAAACTTCAGACGTATTATTTACTATGGCAGTAAACGGATATGCAGAACAATACGAAAGATAAACAAATATATCAAAATGAAAAACCAAGGAAATACTAGACTGTGATTGAAGGGCTTCAGTAGTAATAATACAACTCTTTTACCAAGTATAAATTTACACATGGCTTTGAGGCACTTTATTTGTATTGGAGCTACTGTAACTACACAGCTGTCCAAACAGAAGTGTGAGTAGGATGAGGTCGTAATGTATATTGAACTAGGTCGTAATATAATTTTAGCTATGATTCGGATATCTGGATATTATAATTCCCTTTCTTTTTTAAACCATGGCTACTCGAAAGGAATATTGCAAGACAGTTTTATTTGCAGAAACCGAAGAAGACTTCTTTAAGGGAACATCATATAAGAGTGAATATATTTAGAAAGACTCTACAAATAAGATAAACATTTAACATACTAAAACGACCACTGAATGATAAGACAGAATCTTTAACTACCATAAAAATGAAAAACAGCTCTCGTGAGGGGTTTAGGTAAGAAAAAAAGAAATTTACATAGGCAAAAATGAAAATGACAAAACAAGTAAGTTGTTTTCTGGTCATTTGCAATCCTCAGATCATATTTACGCCTGAGCATTTGCAACCCAGTGTCTGAATTCCGAGTATTTTAAACACTTAAATAGTTATCATGCATCTACCTCAAATAAAAACGATGCGTCCCAAGTGCGCTTTGATACGACCTCTTTATTTATGTAAAATGTATAAATATTGACACAAATAGGCACCAAATTAATATGCATTACACAAATAGGATTATGAGATTATGAAGCAATAGATGGGGGCAGGGAAGTATAATGATGTAACCTCGAAACAAAAACAGTGGGACAGTTCGATTTAGTGTAGTCAATAACAGTATAAAGTGGGCAGTACAATAAAAACGACGAATATTCTGTAAGCAATTAATAAACTATGCTGCCAAATACAGTGATGAATCAGATTTGATTCTTTAAGGATCTCGGCAGCACATACTTATCTTCAAGTTTTAATCAGAGGGTTAATGCCTACACCTACCTGTGTTCTTGTACCACCATGTATTCAACATCTTTTTCTCATCCCGTAGTTTCCTAAGGCTTTTCCCGTTCAGACATATAAGAATAAGTCAGACGTAACCTAGGTACCATATAATGAGTTTAGGAATGGTGTTCATTCCCACTTCATACATCATTAAACATACTCAACCTATCAAACAAATTGCTGGTCTAAATTCAAGGTAGGCTGTGATATTAGAATACTGATGTACTCATGATACAATGTGACAACCTGTGAATACTATTAAATCGGTGAGATATTTCATTTCGATAACATCTAAACGTACATATTACTGTAAATATCCAATGTGAACCGTATAGAAACACTATAGATATTATAAACAAGTTAGATTTATGATGTAAATGTCTTCAATAACCGCTTTTTGTTACTTGAATTACGTTATTAATTCTTTGTAAATCCTATATGTTGAACCTATAAGTAGATATAAAATAAAGCGTTGACTTATTTATTGTTAGTGTCCACAAATTCTATTTTGTACATCATTACGCTTTTTGATATTTCCCAAAAGGAATTAAGTGATACATGTATATCAAGGGGAAACTTAGTAGAATCAATAATCTCACAGAAGTGATTCAAGTGACTAATAGATTACACCCGAAAAACATATTTGCTTTACACGTTCATCGTCATATGTAAAATTACTAGTGCATAACACTGTCACATTATTTTTCTCTCTATAATTCATCATTTATAGTGTACAATGTAATACTTAGCTAAACTAATATACACCCAATCAAACAACAATCCCAAAATATCATATGATAAGAACTGATCGATAAGTAATGGGAGAAATTTAATGATTGACCAAATAATAATATACAAGTTGAAATAGAAACAAAACATGCACAAAAACACATGCACGTTTTAAAGAAAAAATTACGATGAATTATAAACATAATTTGGTTCATGTAAATTCCCAATGTTATACTTGATAAAACAGATTTTCAAGTTGAGATGCACAGTATTTTGTCATAGTTACTGACACCTTTATTATCCATAAAGGGAATATATATGATGAATTATTAAATGAAAGTATGAAAGTATGATGTTGGTTGACAGTTGTTTTGAGTTCCGTATGCTCTTCAATGGTGGAAATGCTGTCCTTGCTTTGTCAATCTTCGTCTTTACATCTAAATCAGATCCTCCCACGTTCATCGATGATGCTACTCAGATAAGTAAAACTTTCCACCACTTCCAGAGTTCTTCCATCAAGCGTGATTGGGTTGGTGTTCTCCATGTTGTATTTGAGGATCATATTTTTCCCATGTGTATGTTGAGGCCCACGAAGGCAGAGGCTGCTGCTACACTAGTTGTCCTCATGTGGATTTGTTGTGTATGAGATAGA